TATATGATGCAATGACAATATGCTACATAGTATAAGATTGGCATAATGTTGATATTTTTACCCAACTGACGATTAAAAGGTTTATTTTTATATAACAAAAATAGCTAACCTGGCAAATGTGGCCTGGCTTTTAGCCAATATAAATATAAATTAAAGTACTAATATCGATATTAAACAAAAGGTGTTTATGTTATATAAAGGTTAAAATTTGGGGTTGCGTCTATATATAATCATAAAAAAATAATGTCAATATTTTTTTTATTTTTGATGAACCCACACATGGACTCTTCATTCATTGCATCCTATTCTCAGACATACTGAATATACATACAAAATTTCTTAAAAATCAATCAAGCCGTGTCGGAGACATTTAGTTACAAACACTGTGACATGAGAATTTTACATATTAAAGTATAGTAAACATATTTACAATGTGGTATATTATGTAAACTCATCTGCATGGGTACCTCTATCTCACCTATAACAGCCGCCAATAAGTTTGCTTTATAAAATGAGTCGGTTGAACCCTTCAACCGACTCATTTTATAATAAGGCAGTGTAATCACAGGGTAAGAGACAAGATATCTTAGTCCTACGGAATGGCAATGCGAGAGCGGTATCACGGGCGTCGCATAACGTGCTTGTTCTTGGATAATTATTGTTAATATTACTTAAAAAGATAACGTACACATATCTCTTTCAACTGACTTAAAATTATTGACAGCATTTTTTTCCGGGATAGTTAACACAGCGCCATCGATACGCACACGATAAGCAGAGCTTGTGTTACGGGTACTAGACAATTGATGTAAATACATAGTTTTTCTATTTGTAAATATATACATAATATTTATAGAAAACGGCCAGACCAATACAGACAACCATACTCATGAATATAAATGTTTGCACCGTACCAGGAATTGAACCAGCGACCATCGGAAGTATAGCTGTGTGCTAAACCGCTATCGAAGCCGTCGAAATTGTTTTGAAGATTATCTTTTCAATATACACCATTAACTCCCGTGTTAATGTAAGTCTAAATCCGTTATGATTTATCTCGATTTTATACCTAATGACTAAGACATTAACTACGAATATCCGTATCCTGTAAACCGGAACTTAGAATGCAAGTGGTTTAGCGCAACAAATTGGGTGACACAGAAATACGCGTGCCAATGTCTTCGTAGAGTTTTCCCTCTAGGGAGAGGAGATTGTAAGTAATAGGGAATAGTGTATCTATTTGGACGGATATTTATCTCAGAAAGCGGTGGTTTCCTGGTGAAAGGTGGGGAAAAAAATATAATACAAAAAAAAAATATGTTCATAAGTGGCTAAAATGTGCTACATGATTTTTAATTTGATTTGAATACACCACAAATCACGATGTGACAACTGACCTGACTTCATATCATCCTACACTGGTACTTCGTCATGGCAGCCATCCGTCCGTTAGCGCATCAAACTATTCTATTAAAATAAAAATCTACCTCAAACAAAGTAGCCGGAACTATAAAAATGCTTATATAATTGCCACATTATATTAGAACGTTTAAATTTTAGGGTCAAGAGGTCGTATTTACTATGAAAACCTGTTAATTTTTAGAACAATTTATTCAATTGCTGAGACCTAAAAAAACGATTCGCCCCATATCTCATCGTGATTTCATACAAGTCTGCCTGTGCCATTAGCCGCTAATTTTGCACTTTCAACGTACATAATTACAACTTGAACTTGCGTAATGGAAGTACCAGTCGCTTCTGCAGTCACGACCAAATTGTACCACTAATTTATATAATACTGTCCGTTAACAACAACATTAAGCGATTGCGTGCCTTAACAGCTTAACAATAAGCACTAGATGAACAAATTGTACGTTTTACAAACTACAAATAAATGTCAGTGGATGCACAAAGCACTAAAAATTATATCAAAACGTCAAAGACGGTTGCGTAACCTCGTTCCCGATACAATAATAATGGATGTCGTACAAAAAAATAACGAAAGTGCAAGAATTAGAGCGGGCAATGGATACAATGGCATTGCCGGCACGATTCTGTCTGTCCGTACGAAAATAATACGAGTATAATATATAATTGACGATGGATTAGATGATCACTGAAGTATTCAATACGTGTTTATATAGAATTGATACTTTTTTTGTATCTATTCTGTATCAACAAATATTGGCTGCTTCAGTTTGGTGTTTCTGTTTTGTAATAGGTTAAGTATAGATGTAAAAAATAATAAATAGACAGCGGTAGCTTCGCCCGCTGCCGTTGGTTTCAAATATACCCATGACAAGTGTTAGATGCACAACAATTTTGACGTTTAGCAATGCCTTTGATTATATGTATATAAAATTTCAAACACACATGTAAACCCCCGCTTAAGAATTGTCTGCATCTTATGCACCTAGTACGTAGGTAGGCAGGTAGGTAAGTGTGAATACAATCCTGGTACTTTCACCGAACTCTCGGACAAAACTCGTGATCAGATCACTTCCTGGCCCTCCAGTTGCGAGCACGCCCAGTCTTGCATAGATACATCAGCAGACGAATGACTGACAGAAATTCCGCTCACTTTGTTGCGATGCACGATAAAGATGTATGCAGTGTTTCTTGTGGTCCTTTCTAATTTGCACTGTACACCTACCTATATACACATACATACCTACACGTATATAACGCGTGTATGCGATAATAAACAAATATTTACGTAATTTTATGAATAAAATCAAATCAAATTACCTTTATGCGGGTAGGCCTATTACAGACACTTTAACAGGAATATACCTGTTACTATTTGTTTAATTTTTTTTAATTTTACATATTGCGGTCAAACTTGAATCGAAAGCGATTTTTTGATGACTTGGACTGTGGAGTATCCTAACCGGAAGTACCGAAGTACTTGCCGAGTGGCAATAATAATCATAAATTTAATTATAAGTGAAGTGCATCATTTACGTCATCATCATCATGCTATACACGAAATAAAGTAGGTGTCAGACGATATTTTAAAATATGCCCATTTAGAATTACTTATTAGAAGTCTTTAGAAGCTTAATACTTAATATAACTACAAATTTACTATTATTATGGAATTTATATATTTCTTAAATATGTTATCGAAATCATCACTGCGTTACCTTCATCCTATTATTTATGTGCGTCGCAGTATGTCACCTTCCTTGATAACTTCTGGCCATGTCATTTTATATTGTCATCTTGCGGACTAAAAATAAAAATGGAGATTATGAATTATTACTACAGTTAAAGCCTAAAAATTAGTTTATTAGTCCATTAGTCTCCAGTACTAACTTACTTCTCCCTCCCCATGTAATTATAATTTAAAGAACGGAATTCACCGCAGGATACTAAAAGAGCTGAACCGATGTAATAAACTACAATTAGAGTATACCTACCATATTCAATAGAGCGCCTGCCACAAAAGTATCGCAATCTGTAGACAGTAATATTATAAAGAGATAAAATTTGTGAGTTGATGATGATGTTGATGTTCATGATAATATATGGACATTATCCCGAATAAAACTCATAAATTTACCACTAATCCTATTTTTCATTTTATTTTATATCATGATGGTGGCAATCAAGCATACGGTCCATCTGATCGTAAACGGTTATCGTAGCCTATGAACGCCTGATAGGCCAGGCGTGTAACGTGCGCGTTGCCGGCCCTTAAGTGTGACTAAAAATCTTTTAAGTGATGTATAGTCTATTTATCTAAAAGACTAGTCTATATAACATCACGATATAACCAATAGGAACGTAACTACAATATATGTTGCAAAAACGGAGTGGCGCGAATAATTATTTCTTATTCGGTCATAGTAGCTTCCCAGATACATTGAATAGCAGCAATCTGTTAAAACTGTTGATATAATCTATTCTTCTATTCTTCGATCGGAATTTTGAAACTCATTGGTAAGATACTCGCAATCAGAACTTAACCCAAGACAATTCACACAGCGTCATCTAGCCTAAATTTTGCATTATTGGTACTAAACAACTGATCGTAATACTTAAATATATATGAAATATACGTCCATACAAATAATTATATTCATGTATACAAATGTTGCATGACGCGAGAAATCGAAACCACCACAATTAAAGCTCTGGACAACCGAGACCATCACAGATTTACAATAAACAAATTTACGTAATATAAGTACAATAAAAATTTAAACATGATAATATAAATAATTTATTATTTAGTTGGGATAATATCAGGACTAACCTACTTAGAGTGGGATCACATTATCAGATTTATCGTATCTCCAAAGAGGGCAGGGAGTATCTAATGCGCCAATCGAAGGATACCATCAGCTCAGGTCGCCCAGTCAGAATCTGATATAAATTTGAGCCTAAATTTTTACCTATATATATATAATACTAGCTACCTGTCCTGGCTTTTGCACGGGTCTACATGTATTATACATATAAACTTTCCTCTTGAATCACTATTTATTACTAAAAACTGAATTAAAATCCATTGCGTAATTTGAAAATCTAAAGGACCAGACAACAGAAGCGACTTCATTTTATTAGATATGCATGTATAAAATGTTTAGTGACTTACATCCAAATTAAACTCAAGGTTGACTTTGTAAGATGCTCAATTCAGTACTCAAGCAACTTGGGTTGTAAGATGTGTTTTTGTTGAAGGAAAGGCAATGAAATTTCAGGACAGAGGTATAACACTGTAGTCCTTCAGAGTATATCAGTACTGTGTTGATAACATGATATCTGTGGTGTAGTTCATATATATACACATAAAGTAGACAGGTTACCACTAACTAGAATGACTAACAAAAGCTATAAGTATAAACTATAATTCTGGATACAAAAAAAAAGTTCAAATAATAGGACAAAACACTTTATTAGCTAAAATGGGTTGATTATAATACTTGGTGAGTGACTTTATTTACATTAAAATTATTTTGTTGAACACAAAATAATTATAATTAAACACAAAACAAAGGAACATTAATAAAATCATTGTACTTCCTAATATCCACAAATATTATCATTTAAATTTAATAAGACAGAAATTATATTTATTCAAGTAAACTTAATTTCAAACACTTCAATAGCCACATTTATTATTTTACCACTTATTTATTTCTTTGCAAAAAGCTTATTACATAATTGTTTATGAATAATAATGTTTTTGTAGACAAAACTAACTTAAACTACACAGTTTTAGTTACTTATATGACCCCTATCCTATATATATAATTTCTGTCTAATTAAATTTAAATGATAACAAACATGATTGGTGATGATGATGAAGATGGTGCACCTGACAGTAAATCTCTCCACAAAGTCAAGTATGTTTCAAAGTTTATTAATTACCAATGCATCTAGCTACTCGGTTCCACCACATGTCTGGACATTTTGTTGTGCATGACCACATCATAACATATATAGTTATATTATTTGTAGTTTACATGTGGCAATTAACAAGAGACACAGCTACACTTTCATAATAGAATAACAATTCTATATTCATAGTAAATACATAAATTTATCTCAAATGACACATCATCTCTGCATAGAGGCAACTTTTTCATTAATCTCTGTTAACATTTGGGCCGATTTCTGTATGTTTTCAAACTGATAGCCCATGTGTACAGATATCAAATGCATCTTTTTGAGGTTCTCTTCGCTGCTCTCCATCAAGTTCTCTGTTCCTGCAAACTCCCTTGCTGCTTTGGTCAGGAGCTAGAAAATACAATTTAGATTCAAAATCCTTTTTATTTTAATAATTCTACACTAATACTATAAAGCTGAGGTTTCTTTGGTATCAGGAAATAACACATTTTTATTATTAGAGATAAGCCTTACTTTTGCACGCAGCTTTGCGCGTGTAGTGTCACTTAGTACATATTTTTGTAAATCATTACTTAAGTCCCGTTAGGATTTAGCAAATTTTTCTGTCCGTATATAGCCAGTCAAAACAAACGGTACTAAATATACTAACCTCGTTTGATTTAGATCCTCTTTGTATTTGCCGTGCTAGAGATGAAATATTATTCATATTTACTTGTACTCGCTCGGCGAGACGTTGTTTCGATTCGGCGAACAGCGAGCGAGCACTACTCGACGATGCCGATGTCATTATGATAAGTTATATAATTTCTTGTCTATAATTAGGCGTTTTAATGAGATAAATAATTTTAATTAGAGTTAACTGAAACGAAAACTGATAAAATATTTAATTAAAACAAGAAATACAGTGTCTGACAGTAACTTATTTTTTTTCTTCTGATTATCCTTTTGGGAAGGCAAAGGGAACAATACCCATACAACTAAGTTTATGTTTTTCATATTCTGCAACGTAACAAATATTTTGAGTTTAATATATGTAATTATTTTATAATATACTGTTAAAATGTCTGGAATATAAGAGGCTAAGAATAATATGTATTGTTTTATAAATAAAAAATAATTATTATCTCCAGTATTTCACAAATTACGGAAATAAATTCTATGATAAAGTTATTCTTTCATTTTTATATAGTTTTCTAATAAATATAATGAACGTGCTTTACGATCACAGAAGAAACTAACATTTTCTAAGGTTGGCAACATGTGGTTTGACATGAATGATGATGAAATGAACATTACTTTTCGCTTGTCACGGAAGGTTTTACAATACCTATAAGAAATTTTTGTATTATAATTCAATTATTTTGTTCTTTCCCCAAAATGTTGCTTTCACATGAATCTTATTTTCCCTTTATATGTTCTTCTTTAAAATATTCTTCAATGCGTGTTACAATACACTAAATCATGTTCTTTATTTACAATACTTCAGTGGATCAGTAGACTTGGTTTTGTGTGTGTTGTTGCCTACTTCTTCGTGATGGATAAAGGAGTGACTTGTGAGCATCTCAATAAGCTAGCTGATTCTCTTGAGAAGGAGTTATGGCAATCGAAAGAGGTGAGGAGGAATTTTTATTGACTAACCTAACCTCAAAGATAAAAGAACTGTCTACTGTCATGATAAATAAGCAATAGATTTCTCTACTCCAATACGTTATTGTGCAACTACTGTACGTAAAGTACTGGAATTCCTATCATGCGAGCCGTGTAACAACTATTAATTGCATAATAATACAAGATTTACTACAATTAAAATAACTCACAAAAGATTTTGATAATCACTTTATAATGTTTTTTTTTTTATTTAGTTTCAATACAATAATAGAAAGAAAAGATATAAAGATACTTTTATGTCATAAAAATTCAAGTAAACAATGACTCAATTTAATAGGGGACAATGTATTTGTTAGTTGGTCATAAGTTGTTAGTAACTGACTACAAACTAACTTTGTTCTTTTTATTATTTTGTGATGTCATTCCTTATAAATAAAAAACAATACTACCTAATTTAATAACTCAACGAACATACATGTAATAATTTTAAAGTTGTGTATGTGTGTTAAAAATGAAAAATATTTTATCTGTGTATTTTATTATTGCAATAAAAATAAATCTAAATTATTTAGTTGTCTATAATTATTAAGAAGAATCTTAAAACTATAATATAATATATAAGCGTAATATATAAAACAAAAATATTGTATATCAGTTGAATATTTATTTTCCTTGATTATTATGAAATGATTTATCTATTTATGATGTCAATACCGCTTTTGTTTATTATAATTGTAAATCAATACAGATAACTTAGTATCAACCACAATATGATTTAATAAACATTGACTGCTGCTTGTGTAGTACGCAAACTATTTCAGAACCCCCAATGACAAACTATTTATTATCAGTTTATTAATGAGTTAGTTGGTTTGATAAAACTCATAGGAGTTTTATCAGTTTATTTTTTTACATAGGTAAAAAAATAAACAAGAACAAATTTGCAGGCAAAAAAAGTTATGGGTTGATCAAAGAAATAGCAGGGATTGGATGAGAGTAGCTACGAACAGAAAATCATGTAGCAAAAAATCAAATTAATTAAGACCTAAAATATATACTTGAAATTATAATTATTTGAAAAAATAAAATTTAAATCATCAAAACCTACACCTAAACCTAAACACCTCATGAAATCATATATATATATATATATATATATAAGGCTGTATTGGGCTTTAATGGTGAGATGTTAAACAGAGCACTACAGAAGAAATACACAATTTATCAATAAGTAGACATGTATTACTACACTCTGTAGTAACTAGACTCTATGTTTTATTTGTAACTAGCTATTCGCCTGACTTCGCATCAGTGTACATGTAATATATATAAACCTTCCTCTTCAATCACTATTTTATACTATGTAATGATATTGACCTTGACCTGATTTATTTTTCAAATAGAAATGTCAGGAAGAACTATGGTACAGATATGTTAATATATATCTGTTATCAACATCATCTCATCCTTTCACACCACCAGTGTGTCAATAGGGCAAAATACCAAACACCCCTAACCCAAAAGTACTCTTTCAACAGGCAGTGTGGAAAGCACAAGATCTGACTTAATTTGCTGAAAACAAAAAGTATTTATAAAGTATAGTATAAAATCTGTAATGATCATGCCTTATGCTGTATAGTAATATATATTTTTGTCTGTACTGTTCTATCATCAGTATATATGGAATATTAAATTAGAACAATAACATTTTGTTACAGACATTAACATGTTTCGATTGTGGATGTCCTGGACCTAATCTATGGATATGCCTGCAACCAGATTGTCATCACATTGGCTGTTCTGAAGTTAAGAATGATCATAGCACTATACACCAAAAGGTTTGGAAATAATATTTTATTATTTTTTATATACTAAAATCCCATATAATGTATCACTATATTGTATTTGGTAAGCAAGGTGTTTCCCATTAGGTGTGTTCCCTTGACTATAGGTCACTCAAATCTCAGAATTCTGTGAATTTCTGTGAAATAGATGTGTGAATATTTAACTGTATTTAACAACATTAAAACTTAAAAATCCCAAGTACTATTTAACTGTTTGGTTAATGTTTTGTGCTAACTATTTTTACAAAATTAGAACATTTATCAAAGATATTAAAATACTAATAGATATATAAACACAGAATTATCAGTTGATTTGCAACTAGATAAGAAATAATAACTAAAATCCAATGCTTATCACATATTTCTGGTAATCACGATTATTAATCACTTCTTATAATTAATAATTTATAAATAAATAAAAGAACATATCAGAATTGCAGAGCTAGTAGTCGAGAACTAATAGTTGTGGAATTGTGCTATCTTGGTTTGTTGTATTGTATGATATCAAGTGGTTAATAATCTATTTAATTCACACTGAGATGGCACAATTTGATACCACATTAAATTAAGACTTTAGAAATTTGCGCACATTTTGTTTAGAATATTTATTCATTATCATATAAAAATACTGTCGTAAAATAACTATAAACATTTTAATTTTAACAGTAGACACAGTATTTTGACATATAAAGATTTTTGTTTTATAAGAATTTCTGAACAAATACACACATTTCAACATGTACAGGATTCCTTGCAAAGGGTATATCAAGCCAAAAGTTCAATTTCAGATCTCTATTTAGATTTTTTGGCTAATGTTCAGTTTTTTAAACATTGGTATGTACCATAACCATAATGCCTGCTACATCCATTTGACCGCATTCAGAACCGAGCAACCAGAATCATTGGTAATCAATGTCTATGTGACAGACTCGACCCATTGGCTTTACGGCGAGATATTGTATCTCTGTGCATTTTCTACCACATATATCACAGGGAATGTTCTGAGGAATTGTTCGGATTAATACCAGCTGCTGAGTTTCACCACCGTACCACCCGCCAGAAACTAAAATACTATCCTGATCATCTGGATGAATAGCGGTCCTGCGATGTGCGGTTTTCTAGAAACTTTTTGCCACGCACAACCACATTGTGGAATCACCTTCCAGCAATGGTATTTCCGAACCGATACGATATTGAAACCTTCAAGAAAAGAGCTTATTCCTTTTTAAAAGGCCGACAACTTACTTGCAATTCCCCTGGTGTTGGGGGTGCTCATGGGCGGCGGTAATCACTTACCATCAGGTGAACCGCATGCTCGTTTGTCTCCTGCGTTATAAAAAATAAAAACAATGATTATCAGAAATTTAAATTTGATATTTTTTTTACTACATAAATGCTTATACACATACACATAATCTTTGGCTGATTGCAAGATGGACACAAAATATAATAATAATTTCCTATTTTCGAGCTTTACCTATAACATCACTGTATAATAGTTCCTGTTCATTCATTCCAGAATTTTTCACCACATTGCGTTCATATGAATGTGTCCACTGAGAGGATATGGTGTTATACATGTGAAAAGGAAGTCCATATCAGAGCTGCCCTTGCGCATGGTGTAAGTATTATTAAAATAATATTGTAGATATTTTTATCAATAAATTCTGTGTAATCAATAAAATGTTACTGGACTACACTAATTCATTGCTGACACAAATTATTATATATCATATATAATGTTACACAAATTATTTATTCTTAACTGGTTTTTCGTGCACAAATGTTACAAATTCTAGGTGTAAAACTTTGGTTTTTTTTGCAACATAAATTTTGTCCCTAATATTCTGGTAAAGCAATTTATGTTAGTCATTTATAATCATATTCATATAAAATGACAAAAGAATATCTGATATTCAGAAACTCTAATAGTCAGAAATGAAGCTTCTTTCAAGCAGACTTAAATTATAGCATTTATAAATTATACTTAGAATCTATAGGACATTGGACAATGTAGGTAGAGCAAGATATATATACAAATGTAGCCATATATTGTTTATTAAATCCTATACCACAACCACACTATAGAATAATTTCAACTCTCTACTTGTTAAACTACTGATATACAGTGGATTAGACGTCAATTCGCCAGAATTCAACTATTTCGAAGATATAAACAGTTTATTAGCAGTTACTACACATCGTTTAAATATTCCAATGCCTTGAAAAAAAAAAACAATATATTTGCTTTGCAGATGCAAGCAGAGACGGTGTCTGTTGACGGTTCAATAAGCAGCGCCCGATTTAGTACAACAGGATTAGCGCATGATGATGACCTCGATCCAGAGGACATGGACTACGAAGAGGTGATGAATTATATAAGCTATTGAAATTGGAAGGGTGTTTATGTCATTTCATCTATACAAGAAATATAGAGCTCCTCTTGTTTAAATGTTAAGACTCAAGAAAACCATTTCTGATGAAATAATATATATATAAGACAGGCTTTGATTAGTTTGTTCTGAAAAATGATGCTATGTATAGGTATATTGACTAAGTGAACTAATATACTACTAACTAATATGAAAAACGTTACCACATAATCATTACATCATGAACTATACAAGAAATATTCCAGAAGAATAAGGTGTCATGCCTCTGTTGTTTAAATGAAACACATTACAAAGCATGTTGCTTCTAAGATAAACGAGACACATAACCTTGCAGACGATTTTGTATAAAGTTTAACACCATTTGATAGAAATCGGTTATGTGATAGTAATTACAGATAAAACTAGTACCAACTTCTTTCAGCAGGTCTTGTGGGGCTTCAGAACATGGGTAACACATGTTACATGAATGCGGCATTGCAAGCCCTCAGCAATACAGCGCCGTTATCGTCGTACTTTCTAGAATGTTCCGCGGCGGTCGCCGTGCTGGCGGCCGACAAGAAGCCAGGTTTAAGTCGGTAAGATAATTGTATATTAATAATGACTCAATTGTTTTGTTATAATAATAATAATAGTAATATATACATTATTATACATGTATAGTACAAAGAACAAAATAAATGCTAATAGGCAATAGAGTCGTTCTCCGTGGTGAGAGGTGAAGTGAGGTCGATTCAGTGCTATTCGCAGCCACAACACACCCCAGTTGCTATATTCTCCTAATTAATTATTATTATATTATACCTACACGTAGAAGAAATAGTTTATTTTCATGTCTGATAAGTGATAACCGTCACATCCATGCATAAACACCACGCACCACAGATTTTCCATCATCATGTAATGCCTTTGATTCACCTTATGCATTGCCAACAAGAGGACTAATATGAAGGATAATAAGTTTTTCAACTTAATTAATAAAGTATTTTCTTCTTTCAGAGCATACCAAAAACTAATTAAAGAAATGTGGAGTAGAAAAACAAGAGGCTATGTTGTACCTAACGGTATCTTGTACGGTATACGGAATGTAAGTACTAAGCTTACTTTACAGTTAAATATATACGAGTACACTAACTTTTCAACGCTACTTCGTCTGCTTTTTGAGATAATAAATACCTTATGTACATCCTAGAATATAGAATCCATCAGACTCTATATTCATTAAAATTTCATTAAGGTACATGTAGTTGTGAAAAGAAAACAGACAGTTAGACACACTTTTATATAGATTATGTATGTGTTATGTATTAAGAGATCGTTAATGCTTTGTGAGAACTTCGGTGGTCCAGTGGTAACACTTTCGATGGTCCTTGTTGCGATTCCTGGCGTCATGCAAACTATTGTATTCATAAGTATGACTGTTTATATTGGTCTGGGTGTTTTCTATGTACATATATTTAACAAATTTATTTAAGTATTTCTATGTTTCCTAGTACCCTTAACACAAGTTCTCCTTAGTTTGGTATTATATGACTCGGCGTGAATTGTCCTGGGTTATTATTATTATTGTACAAATTATACATGAATAATTACTTGTAGGTGCACCCTATGTTCCGTGGATATCACCAACACGACACCCAGGAGTTCCTGCGATGTTTCATGGACCAACTACATGAGGAGTTGAAAGAACCGGTACATTATCTCTACCTAATTATGTCTTAAAATGTGCTAACATATCATTCTACTGAAATATGTCATATTAACATTTAGTTGATTAATTTAAAAGAACAATTACTAATGATTATGAAATTGTGTATAATTATTATCTTTGAAATAATATAATTTCAATAAGTACATAAAACTTATAAGTACCGAGTAAGACTTTATACAAAGTCAACCGAGTGCGGCAGAGAGCGCCCTTCCACTTTGCTTTCAAATGTACCAAACGAAATTGGAAGCAAGCATGTATTGCGTTCACGACAACGTGTATGAAAAATAGTAGCTGATTCTCAGATCTACTGAATATGCAAATAAAATTTCATAAAAATCGGTCAAGCCGTTTCGGTGGAGTATGCTAACCAACATTGTGACACGATAATTTTATATATATCATATATCATTTGATATTTTATTTATGTTTCATTATTATTCTGATGCTTAATATGTTTTTACTATGAGAACTATGAGATTTTTCTATCTACAGTTATCAATTACTTCTTACAGGTATGGGATGGTACGCCGGATGATAAACTAGATTCAGAAGCGGATGGTGATCACTCGGATAGCAGAAATGTACATATACGTCGGCGTGCCGCGTCTTCAGGAGGTGAGTGATGAAATTCTTCACCAAAACCACTGTGATGATGATGATTACCAGCAAACATGTATTTGTTATTTATTTGATAATAGCACAGATTAGAAAGTATACATCAAAATTAAAAAAAATCATAAATCATTTATTCATTTAGGACATTTTAGCCGCTTGAACGTCAAATTTTTTACATGATAATTTTAATTTTTTCCCTACCATCCAGTTCAGTATAAAGCTCCAATCCTCGGAGGTAGACTTTGTAATACATCAACAGCATGGCTAATTAAGTCTTACCTATTTCAGCTACTAAGCACCTCGCTTTTTAAAATGTGTTTTGGTTGATATGTATGTAGTGAAATTACAGAATAAGATGCACTATCTTTATCCTCCGGAATGGCACGAATGATGTAATGATCGTTATATGGATAACGTGATTACTGTATTGCTGTTCATGTATGTAGGCAATGGTTACAATTTACTATCGGGCCTGTGTAAATAGACTTGAGCAGTGTTGTAGTAATTATTTTTTTTAATCATAATTATAGTTTTTATAATAAATGTTATTTGCAGCAAGTGATGCGCCATTCTTCGCTCGCATGAGGCGGAAATCACCAGCGGCTTCGTCGTACAGTGAATCCAGAGCTGAAGGATATTTAAGGTAATTTCATATTGCTTACCAATAAAAGTCATATAATTACGATCACTATTGTAATACCTACGAGGTTATGAGTTTAAATCTGACTGAGGCAAAAAATACTTTGTGTCAATTTATAGTTCTGACAAATTCTCCAGTGAAGGAAATACAGATAAACTAAATATTAATTTGAGAGACTGACACTTCGTATTCAAATATAGGGTATAATACAAAGCGAAATGTGGGAATGTCAAGTGTTGCGTTCACCATGACTCCGATAACTTAGGGCAGTTTTAAAGACCTATTTATATAATATAAAGAATCCATCTACATAGAAGTAAATAAAATTTCCAAATATAAGTCAGCGCGTCAGTCGCTTCAGAATGACTGCAACAATTTGGCTAATTCCCCCTTTGTAGATACAAATAATTTATAATCGTTAGGACTAGGTATGTTTGGAAAATCGTACGAAAATATTGTGTAGACAATGTTATGCAACCAACTGATTTAGTATACTTGTGAAGTTAGTTCTATATAATTTAAATTAATTAATACGCAAAAAGAGCACGTGAGGTGCAGGCGAGTCAGTAAATGTCTTAGTGCGTGGGCGCAGGGTGTCTGAGGGCGGCTCTGCGGGGGTCACGGGGGGCACCGGCGGCGGGGGGGTCACCGGCGGTGCGGGGGGTCGCCACCGCCGCTCGGCCAGCTTCGGCGGCACGCATCACCTCGCGTACTCCGCACTCACCAGCCTCAACGGCACCACAGGTCTGTTTTATTTCTATTATAATCTTTACATCGTATAAGATGAATGTTTCCGCTAACTGTTCGCTTAGACCTTTTAAACTACGTGACGCATTTTAATGTAGTTTTTAGCAATAGATAAAGTAATTCAAGAGGACGGTTTATATATATAATACATGTTGTCCCAAGGTAAGCAGAGGTTGTGTTATGGGTACTAGACAACTGATATAAACACTTAGATATTTTTTTATACATACATACATAATATACATAGAAAATATCCAGACCGATACAAGTAATCATATTCATGAATACAAATGTTTGTATCGTGCGAGAAATCGAACTCGCGATCATCGCAAGTAAAGTGGCGTATCATTTACGCACTTATCAGATTATTTTCTTTTGACAAAAATGCAATAGATTCGGTATTATATGCTGGAGTATAGTAATATGTTGGTGGTCACTATATTCTTCTTAATTTCATTTTAAAATGGATCTGTATTTTTGTAAACTTGGATAAGCTCATTTAAAAGGAATAAGAGCTGAGTTTCTCTCAGTTCTTCTTAGCTCGAAAGCACTTAGATCTGACGGTAGTCGTAGTGAAAGACTTGCTTTCATTGATAACTACCGTATCTTCACATATTAATATATAGTTTATGTTTTAATATATAAGTCTTTCAAAATAGAATCTTAGTAATGTTTAAACATAGAATTTAAATTAATAATTGTCGTATTTCGACCATTGGGCGACCACTAATACGTACAGTAAGCTCGACTTAAAAATGTATATAAGTTTTATTGCAATATACGAAGCTGTGAACTCACATAGTAGCTGTGAATAATGGTGATGGTGTGCAGCAGGTGGCGGATGGTCGCCGCGGTCGGGCGGGTCGGAGTCGGAGTCGTCGTGGTCGAGCGAGGCCGACGACCGCTACGAGACCTGCTCCAGCGGAGCCAGCGACGCGCCCGCCTCCGCCTCCGCCTCCCACCCGCGCCCGCACCGGACGCTGTACGTATACCTCTCGCCTTTACAGATCCAATTTCTAATTGTGAACGGAAACGGTCCATCTCATGGAAGTGGCATATAAATGAGAATATTAAAAAATCTTCTATTAATGATTCTGACTTAAAGGCATACAATATAGTAATCATTAATTTAAATAAAAATTAAGCTGACAGTCCTCGTGGGGTGGTAGCTGTCGCGTATATACATGAACAGCGTTATTAACTGTAACCATTATAAAGTGAGCCATTCCAGAGAACTGTGATGTCATGTTAAATTGCAGGAAATACCTGCAATTTAATTGCCTAATCTCGAAAGTAAAGCAGTGTGCTAAACCACTAGACCACCGAGGTTGCAGTATGCATGTTATACACAGGAAACACCCCAGACCAATATAAACAATCATACTCATGAATATAAATACCGTACCGTGCGAGGAATCGAATCCGCGACCATCGGAAATAATGCGATATGCTAAACCGCTAGACCTAGGTGGATAATATTTTTGCTACACCCGTTCAATAAAAACAATTTATTTTAAATATTACTTATAGATATTATTTACTCAGCAGCAAACAGCCAGCAGTGGGAGAAGATGGTGGGTCGGGTGGCGGTGACGGCGGCTGCGGTTCGGTCCGGTACCGCAGCGTGGTGTCCGACGTGTTCGACGGGAAACTGCTCTCATCTGTTCAGTGCCTCATATGCGACCGGGTTTGTACACCGCAATATATCTTCTTCTTCAAAACTAAGAGTCGTGACATCTCTAGCTATCGTGGGCATCTCTAGCCTGCGCCAAGTGGATCACCAACTTATATATTTTTCTTGACGGCATCTCGCACTGAATCAGTCTATCGTGCAGGGGCCGTAGTTCCGTCCACCTGGCCTCCATTATACATTTTTCCTTTATTTATCTCACGTGACCGAACAAAGTTAGCAGACGCTGGAAGCACACAATAAACAATAATAGTAATAATAATAGCCCTGGACAACCACCATCTACACCAAGCTAAGCAGGGCTTGTGTTAAGGGTACCAAACAACTTATAGAATACCTGAATACAGTTATTTGTAATTTGTTATATTAATATGTGAAGTGAAAACTTAGTACCACATTTTACAAAATTGCGCGGACAGAGGAGCATGTAATTTCACACACTTATAGTTTATACAGAGTGAGAGTACAAGATGATAATATTTTTTAATATTATCCTGCAACTAACCAAAAGCTGACAAGGGTGCTTCCTTTTTGGTTTTGGTCATAAAACGACACCTGAAGCATTTGTGCAATTCTCGACCATGTGTTAATATAAAAATCGGCTGGCAGGTGTCAACCCGAGTGGAGACCTTCCAAGACCTGTCGCTGCCGATTCCATCGCGTGAACACCTGGCCGTCCTGCGGCAGCAGTCTGCTCTCAGCCACGCTGCAGCCGTCGCCGCAGCCTCGCAGGACTCCTGGGTACGCACAATTGTTATAGAAATACCTAATAATAATAATAATTGTATATGAAACATTTTCTACTATCGGAAAGATATTTTTGACTCCATCTATAGCAAATCAAAACTTTTCTGTTACCTCAATCATAAAAAACGTTCTTAACCTATTTCATACTTTCTTATGACAATTGACTTTTATACGAAATTAAAAAAAATAAAAATAAAACCGATGTGGTCTTTATATTAAGTCGTCTGCGTGGGGTACCTATTTCAGCCTCCAAAAAGCTTGTATCATAATTGATTTGGTTGAAAGGTGGAGATAATTTTTTTACAAAAATAAATAATATTAAAGCTAATATCAGTTGTGAAAGAAGTATATTTATTTATTCTTTGTTATTGTATATTCGTATTGATGTTGACAGGTGTGGTGGTTACTGAGCTGGCTACGGTCATGGTTCTATGGGCCGGTGGTATCGTTGCAAGACTGTCTCGCGGCGTTCTTCAGCGCAGACGAACTCAAAGGCGATAATATGTATAGGTATAATAGATAGTCACAAAAATTATTTACTTATCATTCTTATTATGTATATTGTATTACACGGAATAATAACGTGTAATTCTAGAAGTGGGGTTCTAGAATTACACGTTATTATTCCGTGTCTATCTATTATGATATATGCAAAACATTCTTAATTATATCCTAGATGAACAGATGCATATTTCTATCATAGTTACAACGAAGAACACCGCGGTTAACAACTAGTAATGGTGTAAATATTCAAACAGCTGCTCCCGGTGCAACAAGCTGCGCAACGGCGTAAAGATGTCGGGCGTGGTGAGGTTACCGGAAGTTCTGTGCGTGCACTTGAAGCGTTTCCGGCACGAACTCATGTTCAGCGCTAAAGTGGCGGCGCGCGTTTCCTTCCCCACGCAGGACCTCAACATGGCGCCGTACATGCACAAAGGTACGCATTTTGATACGCATACGCATTTATGATACAGAGCCGACTTGAGCATTACTCTATTGCGGTGTCTGCAGATCATTTTGGAATTAGGAATATTTTATAAAAACTACAAAAAAATACTGTTCTATGTGTGGTCTTTCTAGTCGGCTGGACAACTTAAATATAATTTTAGTAATTTTCATATTTATAAGCTTAATTTTTTAATAAACGTTATATATATTACCTTTCCTGCTTAATTTAATAATATATATTGTAGTATATATATTTAATGATTCGTTTATATCTAAATTTATTTTTCTGTAATTAAATTTGCATTGCCAACAATTATTCTCTGCACTACCTGTGATCGATCGCTAAAAAATACCGCATAATGATAAGTCCGCCAAATGTACTGTTACATTTCGTACAGTGTGCATATTAAAGTTAGTAAATTGGAAATGTTTAAAACGAATATACTATGTCGCAGAGTGTACATCAAAGGTGAGCCGGTACGAGTTGTGCGCGGTGATCAGCCACGCGGGCACGGCGGGCGGCGGACACTACACGTGCGCCGCGCGCAACGGGCGCGCCTGGTACTCCTACGACGACCACACCGTCGCCCCGCTCCCCGCGCACCACCTCGCGCACTGCGAGGCCTACGTGCTCTTCTACAAGTCAGTACCCAGACGCCACGTGCGGCCGCTCCTCCGCCCTCGACCGATCGCTCCATCCATGAAAAGATCTGCACATTTTGCCAAACCGAGGAGGAAACGCCGCTGCACATCCTATGCGGATGATGCGCTCGTGCATAAACGTAGTATCTCCTGAAACGTTTACACTCTATCCTGAGGAGATTAAAGCCACCGCTCCTAAGGATGTCCTTCGATTCTTGTTCTTGACGGGTCTAGATAGCGAACTAAAAAGAGCGAGTATAATAGATCAATATAGATCGCAGTGCTACAAGTCCGAGCATCGACAGTAGCCCGAACCCCACAATAAAAAAAAGCCTCAATGTCTAGAGTACCACCGCTACCGCTGCACTGTTTGAATAAGTGGAAGTTATACAAGTCAGTACCTGCATTGTGCCCCACATGCCACATGCAGCCCACTTCTGTTAAATTTTCAATATCCACAGCGTAAGATACCGGTAAAGATCGGGAGTTCTTTTTTATGCATGATAATGGAATGGTGCACCCGCCTGCACTAACGGTTTACGCTGGCGGAACACCAGTGAAAGATGATAGGACGAACATGAAGTCAGGTCAGTTAGCCCGTAATAATAAATTCACCGGGAATTTATCACGATGGTTTCCAGGGGGAACCATGTGGAGGTTAACCTGACATGGTACATTGCTAGCAATGGGATCATCAGTCCACATTACTAACAATCCCCTTCCCCCCAAGATCGGGAGTTGTACAAATCAGTACCTACACTGTGTACCGCAAATAAAAAACACACTCTTCATACATTTCCTATTATGTCATGTTCTTTTGGTCATAAGAGAATATGAATTCAGTTTTCACTCAGATAAGTTAAATTATTAAAACTAATATTACAGGAAAGTGAACCCCCAAATGGTTGTGCTGAGGCAAAAGGCGGCTGAAATAATGGAATCGACGACTGCGGAACCAAATGATATAAAGTTCTACATTTCAAAACAATGGATCAACAAGTAAGTACATTAGTACTCATCCCTTTTGTTGAATAGAATAAACCTAGTTATTGTTGTTTGTTGTATACTAGCTGATACTACAGACTTGTCTTGTCTTATTGAAAGTATAAAGGTAAAATATTCATCATTCGCCTATATACATGAACAACATTACGGACGTCCGTTATTCTGTGACACCTGCGATAACACTCACGCATTGCCATTCCAAAGCACTAAGATAGAATTTCTGTTATTCTGTAATATCACTACCTAATCTGCACCCTTCAACCGAAACATAGCTTTTGTAAGCTATGCAAGTTGCTCGGTGGCTGAAATAGGTGCGACAGAAGTACTGATGCAGACATCGTTTTATAATTTCTCTGGTGTCTATACATTTGGTAGTCTACCAAGTAGAAGAATTGTTAAACGTATATATTAAGGATGTAGTAGTAATAATCTCAAGACAGTTCACACAGCGTCATCTAGACCCAAGTTAAGCTAGGTAAAGCTTGTTTTATGGTTACTGGATAACTGATATATATATAGATTTTTTTTTGTAAATACACACATAGAAAACACCCAGACCGATACAAACAATCATACTCATGAATAAAAATGTTTGTGCCATGCGACGAATCGAACCCGCGACCATCGGTCGTAAAGCGGTGTGCTAGACTGCTAGACCACCGAGGTCGTAATCGTGTGCTATCATAAAAGTTAGAGCCGCATTGAAGTAACGTATATCTATTGATCAATAGGTTCAACACGTGGGCGGAGCCGGGCCCCATCGACAACAGCGACTTCGTGTGCTGCCACGGCGGCGTGCGGCCCGACCGCGCGCCCCACGTGCAGCAGCTCGCCGCGCGCATCCCGCACCAGCTGTGGCAGTTCCTGCACGCGCAGTCAGTACACCGCACCACACCACACCACACCACACCACACCACACCACACCACACTACACTACACGCTCCTCACATCTGCCGCTTACACACCGTGGACATTATTTTCTGTATGAAAGCTGCATGCGTGAAAGATCGTGTGGTGTACAGTCGCCTAATGTGTACCATATATGTGCAGGTTCGGCGGCGGGCCGGCCGCCACACACGCGCACGAGTGCGGCGCGTGCGCGAGAGCGGCGCGGAGGCTGCGGGCCCGGCGCGCCGCAGAGCTGGCCGCCTTCTACGACCTGCACGCCGCCTTCCAAGTACTACGACACACATTACCATCACATCCATCATCCACAGGACAACTATTTACCCCAAAGCCAAATGAAGTCAACCTCCACGCGATTTTTCTTCCACTAGGGTCCCCGCCAACGTATACTGTTGGCGCGAGAGAGTGTACGATATCAACATAATATAGAGAGAAAAGATTGATATGATGAACTACGGTTATTTAGGTCCGAATATTATTTATAAGCTCCAGATATTAGATTGCAATTATATTTGTTTTGTATTGTCTATATTTGAAATCACGATATATTGGGTCTAAGTCGTAGTACAGAGGTAGTAAATAGTAAGCAGCACAGTAGTAAGTAGTGAGCGAAATCAATTTTTCCCTCTTCATATTTGTATAGATTGTAATAGCAATTTGCGAATCACAGGAGCAGGAACATCCGCGTGTCATCTACGCAATGAGCATGCACTGGTTCAGACAATGGCAGGCGTTCGTGAGGAACAAGACGCAGCAACCACCGCCGCCAGTCGACAACAGCGGCATTGTCACAAAACAGGTACACTACACATACAGTATATAGCAAATATCATAATCTTGGCGACTTGAAGACTTGAGGACACATGAAAACATGAAAAAATTTAGTTTTATTGAAATAGATAAGAGATACTTATATTATAAGAAAGAACGAAGATTACTTTACACAAATTCATCGGATGGGGCTCTCCTTTTCTCTAAACTTGCTTTGCGTTGTTGTACCTCAAATTGATAAATAAAACAAAACTTTAATAATTTATCTAATAAGGGTTATTTTCGTTCATTTGCTACCAAATGCAAATGGAAATTAGCATAAACTCTGGCCAATATCCACTTATATATAGGAATTGTGCAATTATATACCACTATTATTGTGAGAATATTGAGAAAGTCGCATACATTTTGTATCTGTACGTTTAGCACATATTACATTAACTATAAGAAAACTGTTATACTAACAAAACGGGTGACAACGACAGCCTGTTAAAAAATAAATAAATTATTATGACGACCTCAGTGGTCTAGCGGTATAGGACACCGCTTTTCTTCCGATGGTCGTGGGTTCGATTCCTCGCACTGTACAAACATTTGTATTCATGAGTATGATTTGGGTGTTTTCTATGTATATTATGTATGTACAAAAAAAAACTAAATATATCAGTTGTATAGTACCCATAAAACAAGCTCTGCTTACCGTGGGACTAGATGGCGCTGTGTTAATTGTCCAGTGTTATTATTGTATATATTTATTATTCAAAAAGCGAAATTTCATATTTTTTTTGTTTATGACCATAAATAATCGTTATCATTGGGATGTATATAAGGTGATAGCATTTTGTATCGGTGAACACTTTAAGTTTTAAAAATATTCCTTCTTACGTTTTTGTGTAAAAAATAACCTAACGGCTATTGGATTTTGGAATTCATTAGCTTACGAACTGCGTGACAGATCTAGCGTTGGAATATTTAAAAACTAATTTAAAAAATATTATCTTTCACAATGTTGACGTATCATTATACTTATTTATTTATGTATGTATTACACTTATATATTAACTGAAGTCTTATATGTCATAAATTTTCAAAATATATATTCATATCCGCGTATGCCTATTCATCTTATATTTTTGATTTATTGTCATATATACAACAAAATGTTAATGTCTCCTTTTTTTCGTACACATATGTATGTATGACTGATCTAGTGAACACATTATCCTATAACATTTACTAGTTTGGTGAAAGAAATCTCTCCTTAGAGATAAGTTTACCCTTGTATCATCCCCACATTTATAATATTATTGTTTTCTTTCCTACGTGTGTGTACAATAAAGAATAGTATTATTGTACACACACGTATTTAAACACGATACGCCTTAGCGCTATTGTTCAAAAACAAAAGTAAATGTTTTTTTTTTACTTTCTTTATTTCTATTTTCCTGTAAATCTAATAAAATTTAAATAAATCATATAAAAACTAATTTACTGATACGTCGTCTTTTGTTTTCCTGTTATTTTTTAATGTTCGGGATTTCGAGTAGTTTCAGTTAAGAAACTCGAAAGATAAAATTAATTTTTAAATTATTTCGGTCTCTACACAGTCTCTACGGTACAGAGATATATATTTCTATTTTTAATATTTCCAGGAAAACGACGGCATCACAACACATATACTCAAACAAGGCTCAGACCACGCTCAACTCAGCGAGGAACTTTGGAGGTTCTTCACGGATATCTACGGAGGTGGTCCTGAGGTAAAACTCAAGTGTCCCACCGCCACCGTGCAGCCACTCACCAATGACAGGGACCCGAAGTTCTTCGAGAACCGACGCCTCTCCAGAAAATATTCGGAGTCAGACAAAGAAGAGTACTGTACGAAATCCACCTCAGAAATGAACATAAGAGATACAGTACATGGGGAATTGCAAAAGAATCAATCGTTACAAAATATCAACAGACGATACAAAGTCAACAGGACAATGGCTGATTCAGACGAAGATGTCAATTACAGACACACATTTCAGTATAAGAGGCACGAACCAAATGGCAACTATCAAGATTCCGATGAGGAAATGGACTCGAGTCCTCCAAACTATGTCAACACAGTGAGAATGGAAAATGGGGTCGACAGTTCAGATCACGATGCCAACGACAATCCAGTGTACAACAGGAGGCAAAACGAAAAAGAAACAGACCTACCCAATTTAGACAGTATATCCCTTAAAAGTAAACCAAAATCGGGCAAAGTGAGAAAAATGAAAAGACGGACAGTGAAATGATTCTTTCTAGCTTTCCAGTTCGTTCACAGGTTGAGGCAGAAGGTGGCTTCGAGCCGTGACTACGTCTGAACATTCCTATGGTGACTGGTGTTAACATACTGTGCATTTATTAGGCTCGAATAAACTGTGGGACTGTGGTCTCTGTACGAAGCGATATTTTTCTAAATTATGATAATTAAACTGCGGCCTCCAAGCCCCGCAACGGAAAGGGTGTTATTATTTTTAGTACAATTTATAATTTAGTTCAAATTCAGGTCTAGAGATGTTAGATACTTGAATTAATGTTATACAGACTGTATAATTATATAATGTATATCTTTGTAAAATTGTAATGAAGTTAACCATAACAATTACTGTATAGATATTTCTTGTTAAAGGGCGCTTTAGTAATTTATTGGTATTATATTGTATTATAGTAGCGTCAGACATAAGCAATCAAAATAAATCTAAATGTAACTGTTAATTCCCTTTGTTATACCGTGGGCGACCATAAATGAATTCGTGAACGGCCACGGTACTACTTAACGGTAAATTATAAAAGTGCCCAATAGGTAGTCTATTTCCCCGACTGCATTTCTTGTTTCCCCGTTTTACCATGTGGATTAGGTATTTATTTTGTTATTACTGGTTCTAAGTCTATGTGTTATTTGTTAATAAATGGATCAACAATAAAATTTATTTCATCTATATTGGCTGCAATGTAGTGTTTAATTTCATTAGATATTTAATGCAATATATAAGATACTACTCTGTTTATAAAGCGCTAAAATTTCCATATAAGATACATAAATGCGATCTTAATAATTAAACATATTAAAAATCTCAAGTCTCTGATTCCGATTTAGATGAATTTTAAATTAAGCATAGATTACTTATTTGTGGTAGGTACATTTTACTTCTTTATATGGATAGATTTATTTTCTGAATTAATAGGTTCACTCTTAAGGTAACCAGAGAAGTGATTTAAATATAGACTTTGAAAGTCGACAATGTATAAAGGGTCAAGTTTCGGATTCATTTAGTATGTTCTATTACTATCATCTATCTAGCAGTATATCATTATCACCATCATCTAGTATTTAGGGGGGTTGCATTTAATATCAGCACGAAACTCACGTTTGCATATCTACTTATTGGTTAAGGTCACAAAATCACTAGTTAACAAGTATGTTTTCTTAAAATTGTTATACTTATATGTGTATTATTTTATTTTTTCTCTTATATTAATATTTCTATTTATATATCAAATTTGTTTCTATTTACTTGTAAACATTATAAAATAAAATAAAATTGATGTTCAAAATATTTATTACAATGAAGATACGATACGATATTACATAATTTTATTATCAACCAGGTACAATATTTATCATTTATTTACTGGCTATGGTCTGCGAGGGTACAACAGTTAAATAGTAGTCGACACTACCATACATGCGGACCAAACGGTTAAAATCGGAAATAATAGGTTTTACTAAAAAAAAAGTACGAACTTCATAGTGTTCGTACATGAATGTAACATCTGACGCCTCATCTGCTTAATAAGCAACCAATATTTGACAGCGAACTATTACTGCGCATTCCCCACTTTATGTTACACGCTATTTCCTCAGATTGCAGGAAAGCTAGAGGATAGATGTTACACATAAAAAAAAAACAATTCTTTTTCACATCAAACATTCTAATTATAACAAGAATACAACTGGCTTAATAATTTAAAAATATCTTATATTCTCTAGCAGCCATATTATATAAAGAACACATTTGGATCTATTCTTACATTATAATTATCTCTTTATCATGATCACTTATGAACAATTAATAAAACCCTATTTCCAACTCTAACATGATAATCAGAAAATATATATTTTAACATCCAATATAAAATGACATTACTTGAAAAAGCGTAACAAAAATAGATCTATTATTTTAAAATATCATAGTTTTCTAAAAATATTTTTTATTATATTTCAAACAATCTAAATTTTCTTTATTTTATTAAGGCCACTATGTTATATATATCGAAATTACGTATATTTATTGATCAGTGTCACTTATTACGAGCCAAGGAGTTACTGTATTTTATTTATGCACAGATATACATGTTTAAAAAATTCTAATATAAATATGTACACATTTCCAATCAAAATATTGTTAGGTAATTATATATATTTTTACTATTATGTTAAGTGTTGTTTATTTACAAAAATGCAAAAATTATCCGGTATCTAAATTATTTCAGTAATCGTACTAGTACTACTAACAAATTAATAATGAAAATACAATAATTCCTTACTCATAATATTTCGTTGCAATTACCAAACCTAAAAAAAACAAGAAATTAGAAATTTACATAGTGTACGCACATAATAAAAGTATTTGGTATTACACAAGATACCTATTGATTTTACAAAGGAATAAAAGTTTGAATGAGTTAAACCCATTGCATAGTAAAAGTAACTTAGTAAGTATAAAATAACTGGGGTGACAGGTATAGTGTGAATATATTATTATTTAATATATTTATTTCCATTATGCATAAATATCCCCAGTTACAATAAAAAATAAAAGATAATATGAACACTTTCAGTGCTACAAAACAATCGATATATATATAATTATTTTATCGTCATTTGACATCCGTTAACTATAATGTTAATAAATAATATAAAATGTAATGAACCACCATAATCATGAAACATTCTAAACATAACAAATCGGTCATCAATTCTAGTCTTTGATATGTTAAACATTAAAGTAGGTATATATTATTTCTTTAATCTAAATATCTATAAAAAAATTATTGCGTATGTCGTTGTATATTCTGTTTCAATATTAATATATGAGGAAATCTAATTATAACATACAAGTAGGTATATATGTATATATCTGTAAGATTTGTACTTTTGTTATCTTGCTTGTACCTTACAATAATATTAAATATATTGTATAAATTGTATTATCAGATTGGTAAATATCACTCAGTTTAACTGCCTATTTGAGAATATATTCTGTACGGCTATTGTATATGACTAGGGTTTCAAAGGAATAGATTGAAATGAAAAAAATATCCATTCGTTTCTATAAAATGCAAAATATTTCTAGCGTACGTGGTCCTAGTGTAAAGGAAACGAGTCGCCGTTGGTACACCTAAAAACATTTTGCAGAAATCTTTTATGATATTTGTTTTCAGGAAATATGTATAAATATCAAATATGTGTGTATCGATCAAATTCTTATTAGTTAAATGTGCGATAGAAAATAACTAAATTTATAAACTACTCTTTTCAATTTAAGAATCTTTTGATAATATTATAAAACCCAGATCTTCTGTATTTCAAAACTTGTACCCCTTGAATGGTCAGTTTTTAAAATTAAAAAATGAAGCTAATTCATACATATTTAGGTATATATCAATAAAGATTTCTACTCACAATCAGCTCAAACGAGCGGGGATGAACCCCATTCCAATTCTACAATCGGGCCATATAGGCATCGCATTCCTCGAATAGAAAAAAGAACCTAACACTCTCACTAACCTAATAAAGTAATTAAATTTCTAGATGTAAGAATAAGTTGCAATTGAGGTAGATTAAATTTTTTATAGTCCTATTAGCCTAAAAAGATTAGAATTATTTACATATCAAGCGTTTGCAACATTGGATCTCTTCTGTACATACATTCCTTGCCAATTGTCATTACTAGACGCCAAACATTGACCCTATCTATAAATGTACCTATTAAAATCATTATTATCCATAATTAAAACTTATATTAAAACGTAATAGTGTCAGGTTTGAGACTCTGCTCTGGTAGCATTTGGAACGCCGCCGAGTTTACAGGTAATATGCTTTTGAGCTTATTTCATATTAACAATATAACGGCACCCTACAGCTACCCGGATATAGAGAGATAACATTTGTTTGCACATTGCTTCATCTATTCTAATGATGAGGTATATTATCTTTTAATGCCTAAAAAGTAAAGCATTAAGAAGCTCCCCTTAATACATGTTGTTGTTTTCATTATTATCACGAATTATGATTAGATATTTGGCTATTTAATTCGCTAATTATTGTTATTTAAATATACTAATCATACTTTAATATGGAATGATAGAAAAACTTCGAAGCGTGCGAACTTTAAGACCCGTATATCTATAATATGTTATAGATTTTAATGAACAGAACAAAAGTTATTAGTACGACAAAATTCACACAGGAGCAGATGGTAATTGAAAGATAAACATCTATTTTCGTTATAAATCTCGGTAGCGTTCCGACTAAATCAAACTGATCCGATCCTACAGCATAGACCACATGAAACTCATGATTATCCAATAATAAACTAAACATAAGTACAACAATGAGATTATAGAATTTACATATTCATTCGTCTTTCCGTAGAATAAGAGTAGTATTTTTAAATATTATATACCGTTACGACTGTCATCCCAGATGTGGTAGTAAGAAGCATTATCAACTGTCTACGTTGTGGTGAACGCATAGTAAATAATAGCCGGTAATATTACATATTATACGCAATTGTTGCATATATTACAATTGCCAGGTAAATTTTAGTTAATGATCTGATGTGATTAAAAATTGTCAAGCTAACACTGCACTGGTAATGAAATTTCACAGGCCGATAGTGAAAAGTAATGATGCTGAGTGAAATAATTTTAACTGCCTTGTTAGCTTTGCGGAACATATATCCAGTCGCAAAATACATACAATTAATGCATAACCATTAATGAACGCCATATATTAACAATTAATTATTTTTAATTTGATCAGTAATAATTCAGAGTGATTTCCATTATTTTAAACATTGGTATATAATATTTTTTTATCGTGAGTAGTGGCTATGCTATAGTACATTACAGTTTACTGTTTATCCTAGAAATGCAAGGCACCTAATAAATCCAGCTGTCCTACCCTTCCATTTCACTCCAAGTTGTTTAAATTCTCACTATAATTTTATCAACCATCTGACACTTACACCAAGTTTCCACACTAACAAATATTAACATAATTTGGCTCGTAATCCTAAAAAGTAAGCCAAGACGCTTAGCATGAATTTCGGATTTTAATTCCCCATATAAAAATCAAATTTTTGCATGTATTAAATCAGCAAACATTTGAATTTTGTCGCTGTCGGATCATCAAATAAACACTCATAAATTCTGCTCAATTATGTTTCATATGCGTCTAATGAGCAAAAGAATTCTACACTTTATTAATTGGAAGCATTCTAAGGTTTTCTAGTCCATGATTTCATATTTGGCACATCAGTTGAAAACACAATGCGATTTATAGATATCTGCTGTTCATCTCATACTTTGCTCACCAGACAGACCCAATTAGTTTTCTTATTATTCTAAGGAGACACGAGTGCCTCTGAGGTATATTGCATTTAGTTTCTAGCTCATACCTGTCGAGTTCTTAGGACTTGAATAGCATTCTGTATAATAGAATGATATTTAATTCCATCCCTTCAACAGTCACATTGTTATACTTACATAGATGAAATACATTCTAGCTTTAAACAGATCTGATGTCATTATTCCAGCAGAATTCTGAATCTACTTTATTGATAGACAAGGGATATGCTCTGTTGTATTATAACTTCGCGTCAAAAGCAGCACGCCTCTCTGAAACATATTGTAATAGCCTACTGCTTCCAAGAGCCATACCTTCAAACTAAATTCTGCGCGCCATCACCATTAACTCACAGAAAACACGTTCAAAATTTGAATGATCGCATAATGAACTTAGCACAGAGTTGGTCCCCTATAAACTCCATAGATCATACAAGGTATGTTATAAATAAACAATTTACAAATTCCGAAAGTACATACACGACTAGATCACATATTCATGTAGAATTCGGAAATATTTTGGTATACCTGAAATACAAATATACAATTTGGCAATTCAACTGGAGGGCACACACCCTATAGCTTCCATACACCTTACAAGTTATTAAGTCCAATATTACAATTGCATTACTTTGCTCTCCTGACTATATACAGCTTAGCTCTACCTTACCTAATGAGGTAGTCCGGTTTTCACATAAGCTAAATGCATGAAGGTAATTTCGCTGGCCACCGAGGCTAGTGGGACGGCGGCGGCGGCGGCGGCGGCTTCGGGCTCTGCGCCGTTTGAAAGGCCTGAGTGAACGCCGGCAAGCGCTGCTGGCGACCTTCTTCACCAGTATAGGTGGGCGTAGACGTTGGCTCATTGTCATCTAGAAGCCCTAACATCTCACTGGACAGGCCCGATGGTCCCTCCCCAGGATCCACCAGCAGAGACGGTACAGCAGGATTTAACAAATGGGCTTGGGTCATGGTGTCCTGCATAGGCTGTGTTGTCATGTACGGCAAGTTGGATGGCGTCTGTGAGTATGATGAAGGGACAATAAACATGACAGGATAGTCGCTAGGTATCAACTCGCAACTCGGCGACACTGGCTCTTCTAACTTGATCTCTAATGGGTCCTCCAATTTTATATCAGGTTCCACTTTTATTTTAAGCTCAGGTGGTATTTCTACAATGATTTCAGATGACGGCACTCTTGTTTGGCCTTCTGGCATGCTTTCTTTTGGTGAAGGAGGTTTCCATAAAGGGTATTCACTACCCTCTATTTGAAAATCTGTATATGTTTCCTCAAAAGAAGTTGATGCCTGGGGAGGTGGTTCACTAGATGTACCGACTGCTGCCGACTTCCATGACTCCTCAGGATGAGCATTCTTTACATGCCTTACTAAATGATCCTTACGTCCAAATTTTTGTGGGCAGTGAGGACATAAAAAATCTCGTCTACCTGTATGCACCACTAGATGCCGTCTCACGTCTTTGGCTGTGAAAAACCTCCTGTCACAGTAATCACAGGTAAACTTCTTATCAGTCTCATTCTTTACAGTTCGGCTCCCTGTGTGGACCTTTAGGTGGTAAACTATATCTTGTTGAGTACTAAATACCTCATCACATATTATACACTGTAGATTTCCTTCTTCTGCAGAATGTAGAGCCGCATGTTTTCGAAAGCTCAATGAAGATGTATATGACTTTTTACAATCAGGCTTATCGCAGGTATACAGTCTCTTAGCTGGATTGTGCACTCTTTCATGATTTGTAAGATGATCTTTGCGATTGAAAGTTTTACCACAAGTGATACATGCAAAGGCTCGAGCCTCACTGTGAATCAAGTTATGACGTACCAGCTTAAATTTAGAATTGAACCGTTTGTTACAAAGGTTACATGAAAATGGGAGCTCACCTGTGTGGGAGAGGACATGTTGACTAAGTTTCCCAGGGCTAGAGAAGCGCTTATCACAAGTAGTGCAGACATGTCGCTTGCTGCGGTCCCGGCGCGTGCGCCGTTCGGGTTCCGAGGCAGCCGAGCCGGCAGCCGACGTGCCGGCAACAGCCGCCTCTCCCTCGCGCGGCCGCCGAGGCAGTGTGGGTACGCGTCGCGCCGCTTTCACCGTTCTAAAGCATTGCTTGATGCTGCCGCTAGGCCCTGGCGCACCGAGAGCCACAAACTGCAACTTAGTGGGCAGCTGTGACGCGGGCGGCGCTATGAACGTCTTCTGCGGGGTGGTCGCGCGTTCCCCGCTCGACTCCTCCGTGAACTCGGAGCCGCCCTCCTCGCCTTCTCTAGGGTTCGGTGGCGGGCTGGCCATCTCGCGCTCATTTTTAACGCGCTTTCCCTATATCGCTTCTCGTTTATGACGCGTTGTGGTCGTTTTGGGTCCGCGGTAGCACTGGCTCGTCGTGATGGCAGAAAACATTTCTGTCACATTGACGGTCTGGTAGCCCTTTCGTATTCGTGTCACATGGTTCTTGCGGAATTTCTGGACCCTCTTATCTTATAACACGCACTAATGGATCAGTTTCGTCTCTCTACACTTCTGGTCAAAAGAAGAAAGTCGAGAAAGAATAAAAAACGATGAATAATGGACTTTTTTCAAAGAAATACGTAGCGCTTGACATGAATTTTCAACTGTCAAAATAAATGAAGCCAAAAGCCCAAAAGCCACTCGAATATGTCAAAAAATTCGCCGACTCGAGTCGACTCGACGAATTCGACGATTTTCAAAAGATGCGTTCAAATTCGATGAAATTTAAACAGAATCAACAAAACGGAATATAAATTGTACGTGTACAAAATAAATAAAACACGTTTTAATTACTATTAATTGCTATACAAATAGCAAATAACATTTTACAAATCTAAGATGCAATAGAATAGTTTTATCTACATTCTGCAAGTAACGTTTAGAAATTTATAAATTTATATCAACCATATCGCATTGTAGTTTTATATTCGGTACAATATGCCATGTTATAAAATAAAATAATAATGACTGATTTATGTGTCAGTAGTTTATAGGTACCTACTATATTTATTCATCAGTGTTATCATCGTTAATAAAGCAAGTAGTAATTCTCATTTCAATTCAATTCATTACATTCATTGTAATTGTGTAGATACGTGGAATGAACTCATTACATTCGATCGCCTGATAAATAATATAGATTTCTGATTATTGCAGATATTGCTAAACTCTGGTAATGAACGATCTCATATCTACTTACGTACTTAGTTTTATAGTTTATATTTTAAGATTTTGTAATATTTTTTATATACAGAATGAATGATTACTGATTTTTGATAAACAACAAACTATACGTGATTTAAAAAACTTTTATGGAAGTTGTATGGTGCTACAAACTATTCTTCCAAGTCAAAGAAACTTAAAAAAAAGCAATAGGTGTGTTTTGCTTCAGTGTCACTGCCATTGTCTTCGGAATGTCAAAATCAGTAACCAATCCAAACTAAACCAACCTTAGATCTTAATTTTAATGAATGTCATTCAATATAATAATTTTTATTTTTAAACAATATTTTACAATTTAATTCATTCTACATCAATTAATTCGGCCACACATTGAGGTACCTAAATTTTATATTATTATCACTTACTTGATGTTTAAACTTTATATTTATATTCTGTGCCTGATCCTTTACCTATATTCGTTAATTTCATAGAGAACAATGAGAAATATTTTCTTGGCTTTATTTATGTATTAGTTTTCTGTGTTAATATTAAATAGGTAAGCATGAAAGTGAAAATGGGATACAGGTATAATCGCCTATAGATGACGAGGCCGTCACATCTGGACTTAGATAACAATTTTATTGTTATCTACTACTGTAAAGATAAAAGTGAATTTTGGATTACAAATCCACCTACTATCATGATTCAGTATATATTTTTTAATTTATATATGTACTGTGTAAATCCTTCTAGTTAACGTTTCTTAAACAGAGTGGTTTTTGAATCGAGGTACAGTCTTTAAATGTTCCAAATAATTGTGCTCTAAGACATATAAGGATCTTCTTATATATATCTTCGTAATATATATATTTAGTGGACAGTCTTGATGTTCTAGTTGTTTAGTGCATCATATTATGTTATGTGAAGGATCAATTCTCACACAATACAACCAATTGAACTCATGAGAGTCTTTGTATTGCATGTACATGCAATATAATTTATAGATTTAAAGAAATACTTGAAACGAATTATATCAGTTGTTTAGTATTCATGTACAAGTTCTGTTAGGTTTGGACTAGATGAAACTATGTGAATTGTAGAAGAAACTATGTGAATTGTCCTTGGTTGTTGTGATTTGTTGTAAATTGGCATTTTATAAATAATACTTTTATAATTTATCAATGGATAACAGATGTAATACTAAGAATAGTGTTTGTAATGTCTGATACAGTCTTCTTCATTATCTTAAATGGCTGCCACCAATTTTGATTGGTGATTTTGCCAATGTCATGTTTTGAGAGATACAAATATTGTAACTTTTTGTGGCTTATTTCAATTTGCTCGGTAAAGTTTGACAATTTTGTTCAAGTTTGGTATATTGTCTGATACAGTATTGTAACCTTCAAGAAAGGAATATATACCTCTGTCATAAGGTCATCAACTTACATTGAAGTTCCTGGTGTACCTTTGTTATGAATAATTAACTTACCAACAGGTGTACTGTAATATTCTAGAAAAATTATGCAATTGTTATTTCAGATAAAAATGTCGGAACAAATTGTTGGATCAGCGGGTTCTGCTGCACCCTCTGGCACCAGTGTAGCCGAGGAACAGCGCTCTGGGAGTGGGGCTGCTTCAGGTAAACCCACTGTAGTATTGTATAATGGAAAATTCAATGTTAAGACAATAATCTATAAACTCAACTATTAAGAGATAAAGATAATAAGCTTGTATTCTGCAATTTATATTACATTCTTTTGTTATATTTGTTAGTTATTCAATTTATTATTACTTTTGTTACCCTTGACTTATCAGTTTATAATTTTTTAAAATATACATATACTATATTTTTTCAGTAACTGTGTTCCTTTTAGTTTATACATATATAACTAATTTTTTGATATATTCCTTTTGAAATTTAAGTTTGTCATGTCATAGGCATCCTCCAAGGAATTAATTAAGGAAGTAATTGTTACTCTATACAATAGATTTATTATTAAAGTTGCACAATTGTACATTATTTTAATTTTATTCTGCTGTCTGATGAAAAAAGTACATACCCCAATTGTCAAAGTTGTATTGATGATGTTCAACATTTGTTGATGAAAAGCGTCAAGAATGAGACTGAAAGACAAATTTAAATTAGGCAATTTTCAACATATTTTATCAGAACATGTATCAAAACAATCTGTACTAATTTATAAATCAGTGATGTTTGTCTTACTGTAAATTAAATTTTAGTTGTAATGTAAATATAAGGTAGGTAAATGTGTAATTAATTAAGAATTCAAGACAGAGCTAACAAGCTCACTATTGTGATCCTAAGCTCCTATATAAATAAATAAATAAAAAATTCTTACTTTGCCAATAATATTTTTTTACAACTAGACAAAAAGTATGTAATAATTGCTCTCCATGTTAATGAAAAAAACTGTAATTTGTGTCAGGTACTGCAGCATCCGAAGAGAAAGTGTTTGGTGGTTGCGAAGGTCCAGATGCCATGTATGTGAAGCTGGTTTCTTCTGACGGACATGAGTTCATAGTGAAAAGAGAGCATGCCCTCACCTCAGGGACAATCAAAGCTATGTTGAGTGGTCCCGGCCAGTTCGCTGAAAATGAAGCTAATGAAGTCAACTTTAGGGAAATACCGTAAGTATTTTCTCTAATCCTTGTTAATATGTATTTATATTGAACAACATTATTTAAAAGAGGAACACGTAAGTTTCTTGCTCATTCTTCTTGTGATGAATGTGATGAATCTGCCTTCGGATTGAGTGGTAGATTAAAAAAATCCATATATGACGTTTAAATGTATGCAGATTATTTATATTTCTATTTGATGTCTTCAGTGTAGCACTTCCTACTCTCTACCGTATTTCTAATGATCGCGTGTTCCATTCCCATAAAATATAAATATCTCTATGGATCTGGGTGTTTGTGTATATATGAAATTTTGAATTTTTAACAGTTGTCTAGAGTCCATATGTTCCGTATTACAATTTAATATAAATAATATTATGTGTGTACCCGTTTTGGGTCACACATCTTTGAGTCCTTCGATAAAAAGAAAATTTATAATAAAATTTTTATAAGTCTATAACAGTGTAGCATTTTTTTTCTGCTATTGGAATGACAAACAGAAAGACGACCGACCTGATGGTAATTGTTAACCGTCGTCTATATTTATACATGTACCGCGCTACGGACATCACGTGTCATCTTATGATACCACTTATGCCTTACCATTATTAGTATGCCAACTTGCCAACAATTCATGACGAAATAAAGCTGTACAACAAGAAATATATAAACCGACTCTATCCAGCCTTCCTAATCCATTGGCAGCATAGCTCTTGGAGCCTTCTCACACAGTCAAGTGACTGACGAGGAGGAATATACTGTAGTAAGGCGAAAGTGGTGTTGACCTCTTCACCTACAAAAAATACAAAGCAGCACTCAACACATCTGTTTATAGTCTTGCAAATGATCGCCAATTAAAAAAAACAGAGAAAAAAAAATATTGGGATGCTATGGGCTTTGTACCATTATTTTGCAAAGCAAGCTGTTTGGTGGATGAAATATATGAGAAAAGGATACTAACGCAAACGTCTTTTTATAACATCTACCTCTATTGTTCACAGATCGCATGTACTACAGAAAGTATGTATGTACTTCACATACAAAGTCCGCTACACTAACTCGTCCACTGAAATTCCTGAGTTCCCCATTGCTCCAGAGATTGCTCTCGAGCTACTAATGGCTGCTAACTTCCTCGACTGTTAGACACATTCAATAAACTTCGAAGATATGAAGAGTTGTGTGATTATTACAACAAAAGTTGATATACATCTGTGGTATAGCTTACATTTTATCATATTATTTTCTTCATGACGAATATTACCAATTAACTTACTGTTTCGATCTGTTTATATGCTAGGTTAGGGCGGTCACACATTCGGTTCAGAACGATGATTATCCTATGCGATCCCGTTGGATTGATCAATTCGTTTGCTACGCCCCGCTCTCTTTGGAAATTAGCCAATCAGAACAGTTACGTAGGACAATAATCTGTCTTAATATATAACTACTTAACGTAATGTGGGCATATTAAGTCTTGAGATCAACATGTCATTCATCATTGTTAATAATGCCTCTGACAACCCCGTCTGTGATTAGTCGCTAAGGTATTTTTGTTTCCTATTAATTTTAAAAGGGAGTATATTACAATGAACCTGTTATAATGATTGTAATACACTAGATAAGGTGTAACGGGCTGAGTGTACTGATATGCACTTTCTTATTAATCAAAGATCAGACTGCACCAAATCAATACGTAATATTCTTCATTGTATTGTCAATACAAAATTTAAGAATAATTTTGTGTAAATTTCTAACTTTGAATGCAATATGCTGTTTAAATAACTTCATTCGTTTTATAATAACACATGATTGTATAATTAACAAATAGCAATATTAATGAGCTAAGAAGTAATCGTCCTTTTTTTTATTTTATATCAATCTATATGGTATAAAAAATTAGTTTATTTTTTTAATTTGTCTTACGGTAACATTACAAGAAATGATATGTAGAAGGTTTATTGTTACTAATACTAAAAGCTCTCCATGAACCTTTTTATTTTGTGAATATATAAATAGGAACACTAATACTGCTGCTTTATTATGTAAAGTTATTGCTAACAGTTCTCAATTGTAAAAGATTGATATCAAAGGTTTTCTATGTTATATGAACTATGGAGTTATTTTGATCTGATCAGTTTCAAATGAGAATGATTTGTAATTTCGTTTACATAACTCTAAAAAAAATACTCTGTTTAATAATTTGTATTGCTTTGTACTTTATTAATAAACCTAAATTGTACAAACATCTTTGATTTTGCATTATTTGTAACAAAATAAAATAAAGATATTGTACCTCATATTTGGAGGTATATGACTCCTGATATACAGCCACGCTAGTTTGGGAGTCAGGACTACATCAAACTCTATACTGATCTTCATCAGTTTCAATAATTAAATAAATATATTGTGTCCAGTCATCGACTATAGTAATATAGGATATGTTTGAAATATATACATTTTGGTTGATTAGTTAACGGTATACGCTAGCGGGTGAGTGCGAAGCAATTTCGAATAATTAGTTTCTCATATAATGAAATCATAAAACCGTGACCAAGCGAAAGCCGTCTATTAATCTGATTGTATATTAAGCTTTCACGTATAAACGGCTGGAGTATATCATGATTTTTTGCAGGATATGTCAATATACAGACTAAAGAAAGCTGAAGAAATTACTCTTCAGTGTTCATATAATTGTTTTAATACGCCACTTACAATTAGTATAATAATAAAATAATAGATGGCGCCACATATACGTTTATTTATTAGGTATCTACAAACTTTCACGCGGTTGAAGTAGTGAGCACTACTTATATCAAATAAAACAACAGTTTTGACCTGTCCTTTATTGAACTTTATTCAGTTTAATGCATAAACAAAATCCGGTCCTCCCCACGATAGTCATAGACAAACTTCGCGCTCTGTTCCAATATAATGTTCTGACTGACTACATGTTAATGCTTACAATATCATATACTTTGGAATGACATCCTGCTAATACTAATATAAGTAAATCAACTTTACAAACAAATCAGGATTCGTCAATAAATAAATTCTGCTTTGATACAACTTATAATTTTAATGTACTATAAACACTACGGTTCGCTGAGATCTAAGCTTACAATAAAAACTTTGGATAAAAATTATAATAATTATGGACAATTCATGTTTTGTACATTTTTACAAAGAAAACCATTTCTATCCAGTGACAATGTAAATGCTATATAGAGTTGTGACTGCGACGCACCCTAACTAAACCAATTATACACATTATAATAATACATTTAGATTACAAAATAATACTTTATGATTAATTTCAATTAATTAGACCATTATTGTTGTATGGAAGAATTCATTATGTTACTTATAAATACCAGTACTCGTTCAGTATAAAAACTGTATTACACCGAAAAATATAAAATTTGTATATGAAAATAAATTACAATTTACATGGTGCAATTTAAGGAATGTGCTTATATCGGCATGTACTGCAAGCTGGTTTATAATTAAAGTTACACGAATTAGGTCATTTATTGGCAATAATATCACAAATCAACAGATTCACGATAAGTTTGGAGTAATGACAATTTTGAAGTTGGTAAATAAATAATCTGTAATGATTATTCGATGAAAGTATTTTAAGAGAATAATGATACTTGTATGATATCGTATGAGAACACATGATAGGTGAATGTAAATATGCTGAATAATATATCTATATTGTTATATGCAACACGACAATATTTATTTGAAGCACAACAATGCAGATGATATGTTAATAGATATTATCCACTAAACGACATACAACATAAGTTCGTCGAGTGAATTTTTACTAAGAAAGTTCGTTGACCTTGACCCGGGAATACTAATATAAGGAGGATTACAAATTATTTGATTTGGCAACATTTTACACTTAGTAATAATAAGCCAAGCGATTCTATTCTGATACCTACTTGAATGTCAAGATCACTAACTTTCATGTCAATTGAAATTAAATCCTAATACAATAAATTAAAATCTATGTTTCATGGATTGATGAATGAAACGGAGATTCGGCTCAAGATTAAAGTCATGTATATTCGCTACGAAGAATATTGAGCATTTAGATGTCTTTTAGAAGAAGCTTGCATCGCACTACGTTCAGTTCTAAAGCGCGTAAAAAAAAATTAAGTATCAATAAATGCTGTCGTCAATGAGCATATTCCGGTAAGTACCTAGTTGATCTACAATTTCATAGCCTTATTTAGTAAAGCTGAGTACCGTCCGCGGAAACAAAACTGCCACTACAAGCAAACTAAATCGGTAAGCTGACAGCGTTCATCCCTGATCGCTCTGACCGATTTGGTCGATGGAAATAATTTTTTTGCTGACCGAGTATATAGGAGGCGAGTCCATTTTCCCCGATATCGCTTGAACGCGGCTCTTGACGGATTCCATCGGCGCGCTATCGATTTTACCATCGTCGCTGATGCTTGACGAGGAATGCTGGAAGGAACCACCGCCTTCAGTGTTGCCATATATATGTTGTGGCTCCCTGATGTTCCCGTAAAGGTTGTAATTGTGTATTAAAGCTGACACTCTGTTGGATGTTACCGGCAGACTGCTGTGTTCCTTCGGTAGATGTTCGGTAACATTTAATTGTCCAGTTGTGACCGGCTGGTTGATTTTAAAGGCTGGTTTTGGTGGTGGAGGTTCATCTTCTTGTACAGACGACTGGTTGCTTAGTATTGGGTTTTCGGGTGTGAATGATTGGTTTTGGGCGGCGAAGACTTGATTCTGGGAGGTTAAGGTTTGGTTTTGGGGGGCCGGACTTGTGGTTTGGGGGGACGGACTGGTGGGTACGACGGGGTCGGGCTCGAGAGCGGCCCGCCAGTCGATGGTGGGGTGTCTCTCGCGAATGCAGTCTACAACATCGAGAAGATTCTTTGCGTCCATTGCCAGCACATGGGCCGCGGCGAGCATTCTCCTGAAATTAACGAAATATTATTATAGTATTGTATCTACATAGGTTTCTGTCTAATTTTAGTCAGAATTTGTTACTACAAAAATTAAAAACGTAAATTCATTTTCTAATGTCTTCATTAATATTTGTTTATTTAGTATTAGTCATAAAGAGTTATTTCAAGTTAAATAATCATGAAAGTGAATCACTGTTCCCAAGAAAAAGGGTGGAATTTGTCTTTTCATTCAATGAGCGCCGCCTGTGTAATTCCCTACAAATATTTAAAAATTTCTACTTCATTTCTTGATAAAAGTGCTTTAGTACTTTTTTTTTTCGAACTACGTTAATGCTGTTCCGTGCGCGGTTTTAGAATGCCAAATGTGGAGTGCATTTGGCATTCTAAACCCGCGGAAGGCCTTGGAGCGGTTCAAGGCCAATTCCCGTCTGAAGGATACGACTTTAATCTGAGGGCATCGCTAGGGGTTCGAACCTCAGCTAAGGCCGTCTAAATTTAGATCCCCGTTTGAATTGGACGGGGGATCGAGCGAGGGGGCAACTCCTGTATATAATCACTGGTAAAAGTCTTCGACTTCCGTAAAAATGGTGAAGTTTTCATTAAGAAGATGTCATAAGTATTACGTATACGGCACATTGTATAGAAAATTGAAACATTATGCTTACTTAGTGTATTCTTGATGTAGCGTGGTATTCGCGTATTGTATAGCCAGTCGCATGGCCTCTACTAGCGCTGCCATATCTTTGCTCAGCACCTGGTGAGCCATCTCAACCTCCCTATAAAAGATAAATATTTAGTTACATATGATATGAAGATTCATTGCTATTGAATTTGTGGAAAAGTATATACATATACAATTAAATAAATTTGTGTTTGTTTGTATATTCAAATAAAAAAGAAACCCTAAAATATTTTGTCTGTCTGAAACGATTTTCACGGGACTTTAACTCGCAGATAGCCAATGTTATAAGGAGTAGTTTAAAATGAGTGATTACAAACTAACAACTAGCAGTAATTAATTATCAAAATATTAAAGACATCTGATTAAGGTCATGTCACAAAGAGTATTGAGGTTTCTAATAATTCGAAAAAAAAAATCATCACAATTGAATTTAGTAGATAATGCTACCTAGCAACTATAATAATAAATCATTGTTTATCATACGGAAAAATGATGATAACAGGTGCAACATACGAGTACATGAGTGGGATTTGATTATTATAAATAACAAGTGATAAATAATTAAAGATAAACTAAACAGTATTTACTGCTTTTAATCCACTGCATATCCATATACCATATTTCATATGAACACTTGCCGTTGTTTAATCTTTATAATTTATATATTAATGTTATAAATATGTAAGTGTGTCTGTTTTTCACCTTATTATGACTATAAATATGAATTTGTTTTAATGAAATTTAATATGAAGGTTAGTTGTTCATGAGGATGGATATAGGAATATTTCAACTCGAAAAAAGCAGATGAATTGTGGAAAACAACTAGTCCTCTTTATCAATTAATAATGATGTTACAGATTATCCTTATGGTACACTGTATAAAGAACTAGTATTTATTATACTGAATATGAAGCCAGTAATTCTATTGCATGTTAGATGTAGACTTTAAAAGTGAGTTTCATGCCAGTTCTTCTAATCAGAAACTGTAGCGTAAGGCGATAGGAAAAAATACTACAACAAATTTTACAAACAGTTTATACATATTATTTGTGGGAAAGAGAAAGAAGCATTAGGTCGTCTCTCGTACACGCTGCTGGCGTCATAAGGGCATTGCGCTGTAACAATGACGTGTGACAAACGAACTGTCGCTTAATAAAACAAAAGCCATGTACCTTTGAGCAGTGTGCGGGAACGGCACGACCACCAAGTCGACCGTGGCGCACAGCGAGCGTAGCTGCGCGCCCACCGCCCGCACCGACGACAGCACCTCCCCAGCCGCCGGGCCCGCGCCCTCGCCGCCCGCCGCCGCCGCCGCCGCGCCCCCCGCCGCCCCCGCCGCCCCCGCCGCGCCCCCCGCGCCCTGCGCCACGTTGGCGAGCCGCATGACACACCGCACCACCGCCGTGGTCGCCGCGTACACCGGGTCCTTGGTCGACGATCGAGATGCATGCACTTTTGGCGCCTGCATCGAGATAATGTTTGTTCATTAAATTTTCTAGACAAACATTTCAACACAAATACATAATATAATAACGAATAGAGAGATAAAAATAGAGAACGATAGATCTCTTTATTTTTACTTAATTTTTTCTAAATTTGACCGCGTTTGTCCGCAATTTCAATCTCATCTGCAATTTTTATCTCTAGGTTGTTGAAAGAGCGCGACGAAACCAAAAAACCTAACAATCTTTTAGGGCACGAGTAATTTCCATTCATAAAAACCGAGATCTACAATAATCGAAATGTGTTTTAACTTTTTAATCCAAGAAAGTTGTTTGATTTTTAATTTATTTTATTACAGTAATAAAACTTCATATTAACGGATAGAAAAAAATATTAGTACATATATATTAAATATTGTATGTAGTTGGAGATGACATTGAGATATTTTTTTTGTAATTACCTGATATATATAATTATACTACTAATTAAAATTAAGTTAAAGGAACGCAATATATAGAAGTTACTGATTAATAAAAAATACATTTAAGTCAAATTAAAAACGTACCTTATCCTCACTGGGTGCTTGTTCTTTTGTCTTGACTGTATTTGCTGGACTAGTTTCTGTTGAATTTGCACCTATTGCCAAAGAGAAAATATATTATATTATAGTTTTAAAATACTACCGTTTTTACATCTAAAAAATACATCAAATGTAGAGTCATTAACCATTAAGGGTGAATCTGCTGTAACTTTGACCAGATAAATATTTTACTTACTACCACTTTCAGTCTTTCAGTCCATGAATTAAAATCTAATCAAAAATAATTTTTTTTCTATATTTTTTTTCCCTACCGTCCAGTCCAAAGAATACAAATTTAATTGAGAAAAATTGATAAGAAACTCAACTGATTTTATTTTTTTAATTGACTAGACAACGAAACAATAATAATAAATATTATATATTGCCTATTAAAAGAGTAAATTTTAGATAAAACTATATGGTTCAGGGTTTTTTCTTATTTTTATCTTTGAACTAGCAATAACTATTAAACTAAAGAGTATACGTGTGGGTGTCAAATATGTTTTTATTGTTTTAATGTATTTTTTATGCATAATTAAAACAAAATTAGAATTCTACACTGCTTCTCTATATAAAGTATAAGTGTGCAAAATTTTCGTACAAAGTTTTTGCTTTGCCTATTAATATGATTCATTAATCGGTTGAAGCTTTCACACTAACACTTAACCAGTTAATTTTAGACGTTAAATGTTTGCATTTAGAGTCTAAATCATCATGTACATGTGATGTATCTCACCTGACTGTGTGTGTGCAATCGGGCGCTCCTCTTGCGTCCGCTCAGTTCGTTCCGCTCCGCTCGGCTCGGACTCGGTTGACATCTGCATATTTGAGAGACGTTTCTGCTGGAAGTGGAATGCTTAAAGTTAGTCTAAATTTATACTTAAATTTATAGTTATTATTTATATATTTTGTTTATACTTTACTTTTTCTTGATTAAATTATTATTGAAGAAATATTGAAAAATATAACATTTTTTGAACATTATTGAACTATATATTATTTTATTTTTCAAAGAATTCTTTTAAGTCATAATAATTGTCATATCGTTTGGAATTGTGTTATATATGCATACGCACATATATACACAGCTTTTGTCATATATATCTGAATTTGGAACGTCACAAGTATGTATCTATGTGTGTTTCTTTTCATTTTATTATTTATATCCTCTGCTTTCATAAACATTTATGTACAAAATTGCATGTTTCATAAATTTAAACACATGCTAAATAGATATATTGATGCATGCTATAAATAAAGATTTTAATTATTACAATAATAAATATTAAAACAATAAAAAAAAATACCAAGTTGTCTTCCTGCATCTGCAGCCATCTTCTGTCCTCTTCACTCTGATGGTGTTGTCTCGCTAATTCCGCGAGTAGCCGTCGCTCCACTGCTTGTTCCGTATCGAATTCTGGACTCTGTTGTAGAACAAGTAAAGTTCAATATTTTCTAGCCAATCCTTACCACTTTAAGAACTCACGTTGTTTCAATTAGTATATGATTTTTTATATTATACATAATTATGAAATATTTTTTTATTTTAGTAGTTATAAGAATTGGACATGGTTATTTATTAGATTTCCAACCATACACCGAAATAAGGAAAGACGTTATCAAGTCCTGTATTGTATCACAACGTTAGTTCTTTTATTGATAAATTGTATTGAAACCACTTGTGCCTTAAATTATTTTATAACAAATATATACAAAATTTATAGTTTTGACATTTATAAAATATCAAATAAAATCTTCATGGTAATCATTCATCTTTGTTTTTTTATCACGAAAGGAAACTGTCTATTCTTCCTTTAATTTGTTAAAGAAAAAATATATTAAAACATACTAATCATATTATATATGAAAAAGTAGTTTTAAATGTTCGTTTTGACATTTTCTTTTCACTTAGACAATAGAAAAACATTACAATAGTCAACCAGTAATTTTCACAATAGTTTAATTTAAACATTATTATTTTTATTTAATATTAAATACATTATTTGATAAATGTATTTAATAAATACTATAAAACACTACAAGTGATTTCAATAAGAAAGAAAATATAATTAAATAATAATAAAAAAATAAAACCAAAATTCTACCGGAGAAACCCAATGGACACAAAAAAACTCTGTAAAAAAAAGGAGAAAAATAAGGCTCATATACAAAGGAATATACATTAAATGTTATGTTTTGGGATATTTATGTACATATAGAGTCCATTTATATTATAAGTACCTACCCCATAAGAAAAAAAGGTGTGAATTAAATAATATTTATTGTGAAAACAATAATTACATATTTACAATGTTGATATTACTGAAATAATATTTAAAGCTACCGTAAAAAACTAAATATCACTTTGTGATTAAAAATAAAATTCAACATTTTGAAATATGATCGTGTAACTAATATCGACCTCCAATATATGACAAACACACACATGCACTCTCTATCTACATATAAAAAATACTATTCACGCATTAAAAAAATCTAAGTCATGCAATCCACTTGTTTGTGCATACTCTACTAAAAACTAAAATATAAGGCACTATATTTATTAAAACAATACACTTTTGTCTTTGATGACAAGAACGTAATTAAAAAAACAATTCACTAACACTCGTGTTCTATATTTAAACGAGATTCGTACACATCAAAGTAAAAGTTTCCCAGTACACCACCATGTTGAAACGCGTGAAATTAAAAAAAAAGTTTAAGCGGAAAACGCCGATCTACTCAAAGTCACCTGAATGGGTACTACATTCGTCGCTGCTACCGCGCAGTCTTGCCGCGAGGCGTATTGCGGCATCGAATCTTGCGGCAGAGACTCCAACGGTAGTGAGGGCGGAGGTAGTACCTCCGACGGTACCGCGGATTGGCTCGCAGCTTGGGCGGCCGCTTGTGGCCGGTATGCTAGAGGTTGCCCGCCTTGTACGTGGCTACTGAATATTTGCTGAGGTATATACGACATCGGGGGTACAACCCCCATAGGTTGCGCCGCAAATTGATTAGCGGGGTACACGGGACTAGACGATCTCACGAACTGACTAGACATTTTAACGTTCGGCTTGACCGGACTTTGGTATGGTATGCCTTGAACGATACCTACGGGAACTCCGTACGACGTGGGATGGGAGACTGACATGCCTGACACCGAGGGTCTGTACGAAGACTTCGACATTGCTTTCTGAGCGGCTATGGCGGCGCAACTTTTGACGTTCTCACCGCCGAAGTCGTATATTTCCTCGACGAGAGGAGGGTCAGGTTGGTGTCTCATTTTGTTGACGACGCTAGCGGCCAACTGTGCATTGAGGGCGCCTTGGACCGAGAATTGTCCTACATCCTGTTCCCTCCTGCTTCTCGGTGGTGGTGAAGCCGGAACCGAATGCTGCCTCGTGAACGGCGCTATAGGAACAGGGGACCCTCTGTGAGACAGGCTACCTCTGGCATTACGTTCCAGCGACCCCATCCTAACTGGCGCTCTCTCAGCTGTGGAAAGACTGACTCCCCTCGTGTTCCTTTCGAGAGACCGAACCCTATTCGCGTACGGTTCCGTCGATACGTCCGTCTCGCTCTGACTTTGAGACGAAACGTCCGTTCTGGGGGACATGGTCTGCGTGTTTTGACAGAGATTATCGCAACTCGCGCCTACAACGACGGTTAAAGTGTCGTCAGTTTGTTCGGGGACTACTGGGTCTAGTTTGTGTAAACTCGCGACCGGGATGGGAACCGTTTGGAGGGGTATGTCAAGTTTCTCGTCAGGTTTAGGGTTGATGATTTTGTCAACGATGTTGGGGTCGTCCTCCGGTAGAGTTTCAGCGAAGTCAACGGCGACGGTGTTGAATACCGATGCGGGTGTGGTGTACGCTTGCGGGTCGATGGCTCGCGACTGGTTCTCGCGGAGGAGATGCGCCAGCACCAGGGGGTTTTGTGCTACGATGTAAGTTTGTGGGGCCGCGCCCACCGACTGCACCGACGTAGAGTCCACCGCTGTTGACAAATATTAACATTACAGAATACTATTATTTCTAAAATTTATTTTCACTTGCATTTACATTTTTAACGATTTAACATTCCGGTTATAATTAATCCCACTTCCCTCTATCATCCATCACCATAAGAACATCGTGCTACTATTGGTGTATGTAGTTCGATCGATGTTCTTATGGCTACGATTAATGCACAACTGTGATGGCTGTTTGTGTAGCTTGTATGTGTCTGTGCGTGAGACTCACACGAGTGCGTGCGTGCGTGGTACTGTACCTGCGAGGTTGTGGTTGGCGTGCGGTCGGCTGGGCTTGTGTCTGTGTGTCTGTGTGTGCGTGGTACTGTACCTGCGAGGTTGTGGTTGGCGTGCGGTCGGCTGGGCTTGTGTCTGTGTGTCTGTGTGCGCGTGGTACTGTACCTGCGAGGTTGTGGTTGGCGTGCGGTCGGCTGGGCTTGTGTCTGTGTGTCTGTGTGCGCGTGGTACTGTACCTGCGAGGTTGTGGTTGGCGTGCGGTCGGCTGGGCTTGTGTCTGTGTGTCTGTGTGTCTGTGTGTGCGTGGTACTGTACCTGCGAGGTTGTGGTTGGCGTGCGGTCGGCTGGGCTTGGGCGGCGGCTCGTCGCCCCAGGACGCTGCCGCCACACGACGATTCTCGCGCCGCATCGTGTCCCACGCACTGTTGCGCTCCTCTTGTAGAATTTCACTGCACATTAAACGTATTCATTAGATAATCTTATTAGCTTTTCATGGATTCACCGTGCGCGTACCGCGTGGCACAGAGGGAAACTCTGAACAGTTCCCGGGACTAGGGATCCTGGTGTAAGTTTAAGACCCTTTTGTCTACGTCCAACGACATCACCTTTATCGTTGGTGTTCCTTTACCTGGCCTTGCGCCTGGTTCAGTGGGTACTCACAAGAGCGTCTCCTTGAGGAGGTGGGCGGCGGGCCTGTGCGAGGGCTCGTAGGCCCAGCAGCGCGACATCACGGAGTAGAGCCGCGGCGGGCAGCCGGCGGGCAGCGCCAGTCGCTCGCCGTTCTCCAGCTTCCCGATCACGTCGTTGTTCTTCACGCCGATGAACGGCTTCACGCCCAGCATCAGGATCTCCCACATGCACACGCCTACACATATGGGGTGTCTTTAGTCCTCGTAGTCTTCGTAGGGATAAATCAAAGCTATCCTTATAAATATACTGTACAATAAACTAAACGTATATTCGAGGATTTATTTTCGTTAATAAACGAAAGAACGCATCCGTCGTTTTGTATACAGTTTCTACTATAAGTATTATTGTTGTAAAATAAGCCTTATTACGATGCCATACGATATACAGTAAACGAGAGTCATACCAAACATCCAGACATCGGAAGCAGATGTGAACCGCCTGAAGTTGATCGATTCTGGCGCCATCCACTTGATTGGCAGTTTACCGCGGGATGCCTTGTAGTACGACTTGTCATCTACCATCTTTGATAGGCCGAAGTCAGCTAACTGTAAATTGTAACAATATATTTAAATAAAGAAACAGAGATTTTGAAATTATGACTACAAAATACCAAACTCATTTTCTATACAAATGAAGAGTTTTTTATAATAAAAAAATACATTAAAGACTAATTATATTCCCGGGGTTGTTGTATTATCGCCATATGCCATTTTACTGTATTAATTCACACATAAAACAAATATACATTTCCAATTTTTGCGGCACAAATTTTTTTACATAAAACAATGTAATCGAGTAAATCTCGTATGACGGAAGTCTATTTAAGCAATTTAAATATTATCATATATTAATATAAATTATATATTGGACTACCTATAAAGTCAGATCCCTTACACACTACATTGTTTTGTGTAGTTGGAATTAAAAATTCTGATTTCTCCCTCCCCTGGGTATAACTATAAAATGACGACCTCGGTGGTCTAGCGGTCTAACACACCGCTTTGCGATCGATGGTGGCGGGTTCGATTCCTCGCATGGCACAAACATTTGTATTCATGAATATGATTGTTGTATCGGTCTGGATTTATCTATGTGTATAATATATTTACAAAAAAAATGTATCCATGTATTTATATCAGTTGTCTAGTACTCATAACACAAGCTCTGCTTAGCTTGGGACTAGATGGCGCTGTGTGAATTGTCCAGAGATTAATATTAATATTAATAATAAAATAATAAGCTGAGCATATCATCATATATGGTACCTTAACACAGGTGGGTGTAGAGACGAGTACGTTGCGAGCGGCGATGTCTCGATGTACGAACTTCTTGCTTTCCAGGTAACTGAGCGCTGTCGACAGCTGGTAGATGTATTGAACCAGCGTGCAGATCTCCAACCTGTACACACGTGTATCTTAAGAGGACGAGGACTCCAAGTGGTCGAAATACGACGAAAATGCAAAAAAGTGTATATATATTAAACAAAAGTGTATATATAAATACATGGTAGTGTGTGTAATTTTTCTCTTATAAATAAGATGTTATTAATGTATTTTTATGCATGATTAAAAAAGAAATATTTAATTCTCTTGCATTCTGCACTCTGTCTCTATATAAACTATAAGTGTGCGAAATTTCGTATTTTATTATTAATGTGATATAATTACCATTCAAAAGTGCTTATTAACAATAACCTTTAATTGTTTTAAGTTAGAAATTAAATTTTATTTAATTATTAAATAAGCTTAAAGTTTTATTTCTATCACTCGTTTAATATCTATAACACAAGTACTAACTACCTGCTCTGTATGAAATGGCCAGGCTATAAAATAGAATATAATGTATATATTTAGGATGGTCACCTCCTGGCGTTCTGTTGCAGGTAAGCGCGCATCTCTCCGAGCGTGGCCAGCTCCATCACAATCCAGATGGGCGGCGAGCTGCACACGCCCACCAGGCCGATTATGTGCGGGTGGCTGAACTGCTGCATTATATCTGACGATAGAACACATATCACAATAAGAACATACATTATATTATGTATGTAACAGACTTCGGAATGAGAAGGTACTTAATTTGACGTATTTTTTGTAGACAGGGCCTAAAATTCTACATATATTTTGATACGACCATGTTGGCCCCAAAGATTTTAGCAGAAATAAGAAAGTATTTAGTAAGAGAGGTTTAAATTACTAATTCATATTCAAGAACATAAATATTTGTATTTTGCGGGTATTAAATACACGACCAGCGGATAATGTAGCAGAAGGTATGTGCGTTTATATCTTTTAAATTACGCTATGGATTTTAATGCTGTTTTCAGCAATAAACATAGTGATTCAAGAGGAAGTTTATATGTATAATATATGCGTGTTGTATTATAGAACAAACCGTGAAAATACAAAGATTTATAATGTATCTGTGAAAAGCTGGGACGGGCGCAAGTTAATTATATAAATTAAAATTATACATATTTCTGTTCATGATACAACAATAGCTAAAAATAGCATCGTGCTTCTATCACTAGAAGTATAAAAAAGACGATTAGAGTCTTATACTTACAGGCCTCTTCCAGAAACTTCTCTGCGGTGTCGAGGTCGGCGTCCATCTTGCACGTTTTGACGGCGACGGGTAACACGTATTCGCCACCGGCGGTGCGGCCATGCTGCTTCTGTAATGCCAGCTGTCGCCGTAACGATGGGTGATTCGCTGACGTGACTTTACATGTACCTGAAAATACCATATACCATGATGATGTTTTCTATAGTTTAGAATATTATCAATCCGTTCACTCAAATTTCTATTAGGAGAGAAATTGGTTTTGGCTTCAGTTTTTATCACCGGCCCAACGTCAACCCTCCTTAGGCATAGGGGGCAAGTAATACTTGCCATATCCGGTTATTATTTTTGCTATCTTTTCCTGTAGCCTCACCTTACTGTAATCTTCCAGGAAGGCTGGTTTGGTTTGAAATCAGAATTTATATTTCTTAATAAAATATATATAAAAAAAAAAGAATATGGATGGAAATTCTACTTTAGAATTTTAATACTACGCAATAATGCAGTAAATCTCAAAACTGCCTTCTCAAAAATCCTATTTGATTAAGACGTTAAAACTCAAAATCTATTATTCTTAGTTTGAACGTCTTAACCCATGTTGTTGTTTTAATATATAAAAAAATATATTTTTATTCCTAACTAGAAGGTTGTTAATATATAAAAATAGTATATACCTTTATGTACATCACCGAATTGTCCTTCACCAATGATACCAGTTAATTCGATTTGATTTCGAACTAATTCGTAATCTCGTACTGAAAAACAAAACAAAATCAAACTGTCAAATTTTATTTAAATATTTATATTAATTTGTGTGCATTACTATAAAGTTTTTTTTATTTCTACGATGTAGATTAAAATATTAAAATTTCTCATCACCCAACGATTCCGGAACCACCCAATGTGATGGAAGATAATAACTTAACGCCATTAGACTGGACCAATATTACAGACATCGCAAGATATACTAAAATATAATACATGTATGTGCCATTCCTTTGTTTAACAAACAATACATTATCTGTCATATAGATTATTCAAATTGGATGACTAATTGGTAACTATACTAATATAAAAAGGCTGTGGACTTGAACAAACATGTATGTTATAGGTATAATAAAGTAAGCTAGTATTTTAGTAAGGAATATGGGGAACAAACATATGGAAATGTACATATATAAATGTACCTAGTAATACTTTTACTTTGAAAATCGACTGCTTAGGTAACTCTGTCACCTATTTCTGGTGCCACGAAGCGTGCGTGTTGTTTCCGTTTTGAAGGGTTAGATATGTAAAGTAATTCTGTCTGTTCATATATAGTAATTGTATTATTTCTCAACACCACCTGGCTCTCTACGCAAGGAACTTTTATTGCTGATTCGTATATATATTTAATTATATGTGAATGTATTGGTATGTATATGTAAATTAAGTATGACCAACCTGCCGGCGTGGAGTAATCCGCGTCGTCATCAACAATTTCTGCATAATCTTCAGAGAGAAGCGTCGCCGTGTTCGCCTCCCAAGAACTAGTCTTGCCCTCTGATGAACTGCTACTCATCTCAGCTATGAACAAATGTTACAATTTCTTAGATGCCTATATGTATGTATCCATATTAATTTTTTCTTTACAAATTATTTGAAATCAAACAAACACGAAATTATAAGAACCTAACCTAACTTACAATACATTACTGAAATCGAGAGAAATAGGTTAAGTAGTTTTTGATATTATTATCCACATACGTACAGAAAAACATCGAACATTCATTATTTTGGGTTCTATTACGCTGAAAATACCCTAACAGTTTATTTGTCATATATTTTGTATGTACAAACCGTTTAATATATATACTTATAAAGTATATACAACCTGTAGTATACCACTAAAGTAGGATCAGTCTTAATAATTCTAAAAGACATTAGTTGTTGTCAGTTATATTGTCTGGTTATTGAAATAAACGCCCGTACTTATGATACCATATATATTCAAATCAATTTCATTATAATCTGTTCAGCCGTTTAGTCACAAAAAGGTAACAAGATACTTTTGTATTTATAACACTAGTACTTACTTTTACACTGACAGTTGAGTTGTTTCCATATAGTAGCTTGTAATAGAATTAATTCATTTTAATATTTTTCATTATCTAGTTATACATCATAATCATCAACATTAAAACTTCACACTGGTCGAATATATCATGCGGGTCAGAAACTTAAACATATTGTATAATAATAGAATTAATTAATAGTTTAATATAGTGTTTATTATATAAAATATATGCTATATACGAATACCAAATATAATGTTAACACTTTGATGGTGTGACTGGTGACCAGTCAACTTATCTATTTGAATGATCATATAGTTTATTTAGAACGTCTTACTTTCATCTTCAATTACCAAATAATAGCCAGTGGTGACATGACAGTTTCTGTGTAAAAGTACCGGCGCAAAAAGAGCTAACAGAGTGTTTAAAACAGTTTTGTTACTGAACATAGAGAATATAAATGTTTAGAGATAAAAGTCGGTATAAAGTTTTCATTATATATATATTATATATTTTCATCATATATATAACTTACTTGTTCTGTTCCAAAGCGACGTTTGCGAATCTGTGACGAGTCTGCAGTAACCATCCACTAGATCTGCTAAGCTTTCTGCGGCCTGAAATATTTTATTATCATTTTTAATAAACATCCTGATGTCTTCGACAAATCATGGAGCATTACGATAAAGAGATCCATAGATAAATAATATAACAATCTAGTAAAAAAGTAATCTAATAGTGTAAATTACCTCAACATTACTGCACGTTATTGTCAACGTCTCTGTGGCTCCTTTCACCCTCAACTGTAGCGCTGCTTTTCCACAGGACCCACTCTGTAATGAAACATTAACGATATTATTACAACATGTATTTAAAATATGCTAAATATATACTAAGAACTGGCCGTGCTTTCGGTTTCATCAGCGTGAAATTTATAGCTGACCTGTGCAACTTCGTCTGCATTACACTTACTTGACATTTATCATTATACTTCGCTTAATTTACATAATATCTTTAAAATTATAGACTGTTATTTTGATGTATAAGTTATATTACTGTAAAGTTTCATCACAATCCGTTCAGTAGTTTTTGCGTGAAAGAGTAACAAACATCCATCCATACTCACAAACTTTCGCATTTATAATATTATATATATATACTATATACTAGCTGTACCGGCAAACGTTTTGCCTTAAAATAAAAAAAAAATTAGGGGAGGACTACCCCTAACATTTAGGGGGATGAAAAATAGATGTTGGCCGATTCTCTAGGTCTGAGAATCGGCCAACATCTCAATACGCTCACAAAATTTCATGAGAATCGGTCAAGCCGTTTCGGAGGAGTATGGGAACGAAAACTGTGACATGAGAATTTTATATATAAGATCTACTATTCTGATATATAAGGGTTTTGCGTGAAAAAGTAATAAACATTTATCCATCCGTCAACAATTACAAAGTGTCGTGTTTGTAATAAAATACACTTTATTTCATTTGTAACATTAAATAATTAATATCTTGAGTACTGACTAGTGTTGACGAAATTCGGTTGTTTTCAGCAGTTTCTATAAATCCTGGTGGCTAACTTATACTTCTAATAGCGCTAGCTGTTCCAGGCAACCTCGTTTGGGCAACATTTTACCCGATATTGCAATATATTTTTATTATTGCTCCGCTCCTTTTGGTAGTATCGTGATGTTATATAAGTTATAGCCTTATTCGATAAATAGCCTATCTAACACTAATTGATCTCTTAAGCTTCAGCAGTATATATTAGCAGAGATTAGTAGAATTACCTGAGTCTGCGATTGTTGTGTGCAATTGGATTTGAGCGTTTGCACAGCAACTATATCGCTGAACGAAGCGATCTTAGAGTAAATTGGAGGCTCGCCTGCTTTGTGAGAAATGTACGATATATCTGTGAAAGGAAATTGTGAATCACATTAAAATTTGAGTAGAATAGAATAGAAATAATCTTTAATCAAGTTAGTTGAGTTCTTAAAACATTTATTGATTTAATTTTCTATTAAAAAATATAAAAAAAATTGAAGTATAATAATATAAGAACAGTCAATTTTAATACACTCTCACATCCTTGAACCGAAGTGGTTACAAATAGTGCAAGTTCAGGGGTTCATTTTCTTCATATTGAATTACCTGCCGAGGTTTTCTTTAGATACTAGCATGGGGTTTTTAAATACCTCGGTGATTCATGTAATAAGTAACTGTTTACCATCAGATGGCTCGAATGCTTGTTTGTCACATTGTCATATACAAAAAATACATTTTCTTACAGACAATCTACAGTACCTAGATAGTTTTTTAAGTTTGCCAGTAGGTCCCACTTGCAAAGAGAAACAGTCCTGTAAGATTTGCAACTGTGTTCGGGTGTAAATGGTGAGATATGGCAGTAAATCAACTATGTTTATTACCAAAAATGTAACGTGACAACGTGGCGCTCTTCAGATGTACATAAGTAAAATTTTAAAAATATTTTTTGATGTATGATATACTAGCTGAGCCCGCGGTTTCACCAGCATGAAATTTATAGCTTATACGTTATTCTTATATATAAGCTACATTACTGTAAAGTTTTATCAAAATACGTTCAGTAGTTTTTGCGTGAAAGAGTAACAAACATCCATCCATACTCACACACTTTCGCGTTTATAATATTAATAAGATATACGTGTTAATTTTTTATCACTATCCTTACCGTCCAGTTCGACTAGCTATTTCTGATGACGGTTACCATTTACCATCAGGTAGGTCGTTAATACGTTTCTCATTTCAGTTAAACAAAAATGTCATCTAATATTCTAATTATGGAAGAATAAAGGAAAACTAACCTATACCAGGCCCAATGGCCAGTTCGACGGGTATGGCCCACTCGGTGCCGAGAGCACCCGTAAACGTTTCCCTATCGTAGCCGTAGTGCGTGTGCATCGTATCCAGATACTTCAGCATGCACTCCGTGTCGCTTAGATTCGCCACCTGTAATATAAAACATAGAATTCATTTAACATGACGGGCTCAGTGGTTTAATATCTCAGCAGGCGGCCTTACTTCTGATGGTCGCGGCTTCGATTATTCGCGCAATGCAAACATTTTGCGTTTATGAGTATGATTGTTTGTGTTTTCTATATATATCATGTATGCATTAAAACATAATACCTAATCTAAGACCCATATTGAATATAAAACTCTGAATAGTTTGGGATACACATTCATTTTTAAATTCAAATTTGGGAGAGTTTATTATTAATAGAGTGACCAACAGCATGCATATGCTGATGGGTCACTCTTCTTTTACTGTACTTGGTGTTTTAGTGTCTGGCATATGTCTGTATTGCTACAGATAGTGTATACCAGTGTTGCCATAGTACAAATTCATTATAATTGCATTAGGTCATCCGCGAGCCTATAAAAGGCTCCAAATAAGGGCTTAGAGCCATTGTTCATTATTATTATTATAATCATACTATCGACCCGCCCCGGCTTCGCACGAGTACAAAAATGTTTGAATTTCTCGACTTTTCTGTACTATGCATATTGCATGGATAATACATATAAACCTTCCTCTTGAATAACTCTATCTATTGCTGAAAATTGCATTGAAATCCGTTGTATAATTTAAAAGATCTAAGCGTACCGACAGCGAAAGCGACTTTATATTATACGATGTAAAGATAAACAGAATTAGTATTGGTTGGTACCAAGCTTGGTGAAATATAGATGCAACAGAAATACTTTCACTAAGAAACAAAGGGAATTCTAAAAATATATTTTAATTTATATTTTAAATAGAAATATAATGAAATTGGAATGGAAGATGTGATGATGACCCACATGATACATATAGGTAAGCGGTCACCATCGCTTATATACATGAAAAGCATATATATATACATTACATGACACCAGTGATACTACAGAAGCGTATCCATTCCAGAGAACTAGAATGTCCCTTCTTATCCTGTAATTTCAGTTCCTAATTTGCACCCTACAACCAAAACACGCTTACAAAACTAATTGGCGGCCGAAATAGGTGAGACTGACATACACACCGACGACTTTTTACTGTGAACCTCTAGTAAATTGTGATGTTTACATAACAAATTGATCACGTGACCCTATAGTACATACATATGAAGGAATTTAAAGATACTTTCAATGTTCCGCTTTGTTTCTGTAGGAAATTTGTTTAGTTTGATGATTGGTTTGATTTCTGTATATATTTAGCAAATATCCTATATATTTGTTATAACTTTAATGCACAAATACATAAATAAATATGCACATGGCGGACTTAACACCTTGAGGGATTTTCTCCCAGTCAACCATTGGGCAAACAGTGATTCATGTAGGCGGTGCATTAACAAATTTTGAATATATAGTTTAATAAAGCTTGCATTGAGACAGATCACAATGAAGCGAATAGCAATGATGTCTGACCTTAACAATCAATAATGCATGATGTTGTATAGAAGCCAGTTTGTGGCAAAAGAGCAATTATTTACCTTTAGGCCCTGTTTTGTAACACCTAAATAAGAATTATGATCACCCCAGCATGAGGCTTCTAAGCATGAGGCCGGTGTACAGAAACAGAAACAAGTAGTTTGTTTTGATGGCACCTTGAATATTGAAATCGAAAACAGTGCTTTAGTAAATTATTAAGAATAATTTTAATGATGATAATAATAAAAAATATAATTTATACTAGCTTTGTTACCGGCGTGTTGTTTACGTACTAGGCCAAATGCCTAGGAAACAAGGGAGCGCATTAATTCTTAAAAACTCGACCTTGACCGATCGAATTTTTTTTGAGTGGTAAACGAAGAGTACCGAATTACGATCTTCGATGAAATTTTGGTCTGATATCCGATCGAACAAAGAGTGCAAATCTGATCTCTAAGATCGGATATCAATAAATGGATTAGATTAACATAGATGTTAAGATTAGACTTTTCTAGTATTTGCTATATGTTTTATTAGTGAAATAAATTGCATTGTACAGGGGTTGGTGGAATTAGTAATAAGAACTAGTGGCCTCATTTGCAACAATATGTCAAGTTAGGTCGAACTCGTGGTCGTGGTCGGTCGAACGTGGTTTCGTCTAAAAACCATCATTGTTAACTACTAGTGAATTCGCCATGATGGGCCAACTGACCTGATTTCATCCATCCACCAAAAAAAATGTATTGTACATTAAAATTATAAAAATTGCATACCTTTTTGAACTGTTGCTGTATTGCTTTCTTCAGGACCTTTGGCTTGATCGCTTCCAGGACTGATTTGGGCAGAAATTTATGAAGTCCAAACTCCTTCTCCAGGTACTCGATGTTGGATTTTTTGTCCAATGATATTTGCATGTCCTTACAAAAGTATCTGGAACGTATAAACAAATCGATCAGTTGAGGTTGAGTTTATGAAACAAATTTAGTACTTCAAAGATGCTGTATTAAATTGCAATCTTGGATTTCGGTATAAAAATGTAATATATGAAATTACGTAAATTAACATACATAATAATATACATATAAAACACCTAGACCGATGCAAACAATCATACTCATGAATACAAATGTTTGCACCTTGCGAGGAATCGAACCCGTGACAATCGGAAGTAAAGCGGTGTGCTGTTTAAACCGCTAGACCGCCGAGGGCGTCAAAGCTTAAAAAGTAAGAAAACCTCTGCCTAACACGTCTTTTTACAGTAACTACTTCTCCAGTAGATTTTGTTTCTTATTTTATAGGTAGGGCATTACAAAATGAGGAAAAATTAAAACACCTGAATGTATTAGAGTTTTAGACAGGACGATATACACGTGTAATACACACTTTAAAAAATCCACTTACTTAATTTCTAAACAACATATTTGTATCGCCAAATCCTGGTCAACCATAGGATGATTAGCGTTGAGGTAGTCGTGGCGCACCTGAAAATTATAATAATAATAAATTGAAAATTCACACAGCGCCACGCATGCAGCACCCAAGTACTACACTACTAATAGAAATATTTAATACATTTTCTGTGTAAAGATATACAAAATATATTTAGGAAACACTCAGAAAAATACAAACAATCACACTTATGAATACAAATATTTGCAACATGCGAGGAATTCTACCCGCGAGCTTCTGATATCTTAGTCCTCCGGATTGGCAATGGACGAGTGATAAGATGGTCGTCACATGATAACGTTGACAAAAGCGACGGTTACAACTTACCATCTGTTAGCCGTATAAAAAAACATAAGTAGTGCCACGGAATACAACTAATATAGTACTTGATGAATTTATTTTGTTTAATTCCGCTACAATTAGCATGTGTGAGACCACAAATATTCGGTGTGGAGTTCGGATATAGATTGGAAGCCTAGTGTTGACTCTTCAGTGACCAAACCGCGACTCAACAACTACTATAGTTATACAAACAAACCTGATCGTAATAATAGTGGAAAGTAACGCGGTCCGAGTCGCAGAGCTCTCGCAAATTGGCAGGCAGGTAGCGCACGCGCAATTCCAACCGCCACTCGCTCGCCGGCCATTTTGTGAGGAGCTCCGACACTGGTGTGTCCTGGTGGACCCATCGGATCTGAAAAGAAGGGCCTTAGTATAGTCTACTTCCCGCTGAGAGAACGGAGACAACTTTGGCCATGAAGTAGCACTGCAAGGCTTTGGACACTCAGACGAGATATCAGCTAAAGGTCAGCCCCTCGTTCCATTTTATTTATTTACAACCGTTTTCAACTTTAGCCATTTCCGGTATACGTTCAATAGGACCCTATTATTGTTTCCCCGCGCGCTCAGTAGACCATGTCTTCTTCGTGGGTACCTCTGCTCACCTATTTTAGGCGCTAAGCAAGAATGTAAGATTTGTTTCCGTTGAAAAATGAGATATGGCAGTGACTACAGAATAACACATTAGCCTTCTCAAATGACAAAGTACCACATGCACATAGAAGAAAACTTCTTAGTACCGTAAAGACACAAAACAATTTTGCTATCACGGTGTGACTGAATTTGTGAATGATTAGTAATAATGTTAACCAGCCTTACCTTTCCAGAGTTGAGTTTTCTAGCCCTCAAAGCGTAGCAGGACGCGAACACTCTGTCACCGGCGGCCAGTCGTGACGCTAGCAGTCGCAGCACGGACCTCACGTCCTCGTCTGCTGATGCCCGCACCACGTTGAAGCCGCCATTCGGTAGGTGGACCTTGAGGGTCGACTGGTCTCCGCTTGATGAGCCTTTAAAGTTTTTATTTCCTATCAAATCTTATCAATTTTAATCTATATAAACTATGATTATTGGATGAAGTTTTGTAAATAATGTAAATGTTTAGATTTTATAAAGTTTATCCGCAGCACTACTGTCAAGCGTTGCCATTCCAGAAGAATAAGATCTCATGCCTCTTATCCTGTAATTTCACTAGCTAATCTACACCCTAAAACCGAAACTCCGCTTACGACGCTAGGTGAGACTGAGATACTCCCTCAGACGCCTTTTTACAAAGTCTAACTAGGTGAAAGAGAGAGTAAGCTTAGAAAAATATATTATTATTGTATCACTTAGAGATCCGTTCAGGTTAGTTGAAGAACAGTTTATTATTTATGTAAGTAGTCATAAATAAATATTCCTGTTATTCAAGAACCGGTGACTGTACAATCTCGAAATTAGATTATCAAGACTTGACTTTAATGTGAAAGTTCCGATATTGATTAGCAGCGATTAACCTAATTGAAAACTTTACCATTAAGAAAATATGAAAAGGAGTAGTGACTCGCGCATCACTGATTATGAATAGTGTGTCGCTTATCTTGATATGGACTTTGATACTATTAATGAAATACACTTTGAAATATTATAATTTATATTGGAATAGAAAAAAGATATTAGAAAATTATTATAGATATGATAGGTCTACTACAACAATAATAAATACACTGTTCATTTTGAGGATTGATTTTCTAGCTAATACTACAACCAGATAAACAGTTTGGATACTCAAGATATTCACAGGTTAGTTCAGGAGTTTGAAAAATTTTATCTGTTGGATAGCGCATTTATCAAGAAAGGCTGTAGAATATATAATATAACATAACGCTACGACAAATACAAGCGGAAATGCAATGAAAAATGTTGCAAAAACGAGGAAAATGTGACGCAAAGTTGCGCGGGTCAGTTAGTTAGATATACAGAAGAAATATAGCTAAGTGACCTTCATTAGGCTAGTTGGGCACTTTTCTTCACCTCATTACCTGCCTATTGGCCAAATAAGGTTGTCCCAAACTAATGCGAATCAACTTCTGCTTATAATTTTGTCAGTTGAATACAAGCTATGTAGTGTAACTATATAACAAGTAACTATTGTACGATTAAAAATTTTTACTAGTTACCTGCGACTTGGTCTGTACAAACTTTCAACGCCTATTTCACTTTCTTCCAGATCATTTTCATTACATAGTATAAAACAAAGTCACGGTCGCTGTCTATCCGTCACTATGTATGCTTAAATCTTTAAATGGAGCGATTTTTTAAATAGAGTGATTCTAGAGGAATGTTGTTGAGCGTTTATATGTATAATACGTGTACATCCGAAGCCGGGGCAAGCTAGTTACAGATAAAGTAACTCGTTCTCCTTTTCAATCTATTGACGATCGAAACATAACAGCCAGTTACATAATTGTGAAAAGGTAATATTGATACAAGTACTGTAGGAATGTGTAAATGGATAAAATTTTAATAATTTCTACTATTATATCTACTTTTGGTCCATATATCAACCCCTCAAGTTCCCACGGAGAACGTAATTAACATTCAGTTGCAAAACTAGTTATTTGTAATAATCTTTTTATAAGAACTAATATTGAAATCTCTTGAAACAAACGTTATCTATGCGGATTGTACCGTATCAACTTTTATCCGTGGAATAATTTACCTACAATGAATGACTCTTCGTGTTCCGATTAAGGAAATATAATCGAGAGAATATACTACAAAATAGAGAAAAAGTAGTGATTCAACATATATTCTTATAAATTAACTTAAGGAAACATTGGGTTTTTCTTTTGTCATACTTTCGTAGAAAAACTATTGGACGTTTCTCATCCAAGACAAGTTAGGTAAGGTAAGGCAGAGTCACCGCCGAATGTTGGATTCAAATATTCCCAGAGAACATGTAAAGTGTTGCGTTCATCACAAGAACCCACAATGCTTGAAACAGCCCCATTTAAGGATTAATAGTTATAAACTACATTGTTATAGATGAAAAAGAAATAATAGAAATAATCTTAATTCAAATAAACTTAATATAAGCACTTTTGAAGTCACATTTTTTTATTCTACCACTCATTCGGAACGCAGACTCATCACAAGAAGAATGAGCAAGAAACTTGTATGTTGCTCTTACAAATCAATGTTGTTCTGAGTAAATATACATTAACAAGGATTAGACATGCGTTAATCAACATAGAAACTGCTACGCAATCTTTGTTCAATCAGATAATATTGGCAGTGCTATGAATCTTAAGTTAGATTTTTTTCTACAAAAACGTAGAATAGGTATAATATAACATCTCAGTCCTACTGAATGGTAACGCATGATGTTCGTCACATGATACCGTGATGACTGTGGTGCTGTTCAAGAATATTTGCAACGGTTACCACCTACCATCAATGTTGTAAGCTTGTTCATCAAATGAATACATCTTTCAAGCAATAGTTAGTCCTCTTACTATATCTTATCGTAATCTTAATAATATTCTAAACGCGAAAGTTTGTAAGTATAGATGTTTGTCACTTGTTATTGAAACTTTACAGTGATATAGCTTATACATCAGAGTAACACATAGGATATAAATTTCACGCGGATGAAACCGCGGGTACAGCTAGTATGTAATATTCATATCTACTATCGCATATGAAATTGGCAATATCGATATATGACTTTCAGTTAATAATTTATATGCAAACCATCACTATAAACTTGAATATCGATTATGCAGGTATGCAAATGACACCATTATTGCGCCTCCTACAAACAATTGAGTGGGCTATATGGGCGTATATTGGACCACCCGCGCTAGTTATCAGATTGCAAGAAATATTGAGATACAATAGCTACCGTAGCTAGTAGAAATTTATATGGAACTGTCCGCTTTAAATAAATATAAAAACTTCATGTTTTATAACATTCTATATAAACTTTACCATTAAAATAAAATTAAGATCTTATAAATTACGCAAAGGTTCTTTGAAATTTTAATTCAGTTTTCAGCAATAGATAGAGCGATTCAAGAGGAAGGTTTATATGTATAATGCATGCGTGCTATAGTTTAGAACAAGCCGAGAAATTCAAAGATTTGTAATGCACCCATGCGAAGCCGGTATGGATGGCTAGTGTGTAATAAATTTCTTTCACTCCATCGATTTCCTATCCATTTATACATATAAACTTTTACTATCCATTTATACAAAAGCTTGTCGCTAGATTTACGTGTGTAGGTATAGACGTAAATTAAATAACTTGAATATTTATATAACTAATCTGATTGATTTTAATGTTATAAATTTTCAAAATAATTAAACACGATTACATACACAATTACTCGTATTTACTTAGTTTGAAAATTTATATATCCGTGCATTACATTTATATACTCGTATATTGCTATAGATATATAAGTTTGTAATGAGTACCTAGTTTTTTATTCTTCACTTCCTAAGTTACACACCCTTAATAGTGGTTATGAGCTCCTCATTGCCGATTCAGATCTTTGCAATTTGTCTTCAAAAATCCTCAAACAGCTCTGTCGATCCACAATGGACAGGTGGATGTTTTTTATCCACAAAGGATTCATAAGAATATATATTTTCTCACAAAAAAGAATCTTCCTAAATCCATTTACATTTCTATTGTATAATATAGAGATACCTCTCAAAGTGTATGTAGGCACACTAAATTAAGGTGACAATATTAAAACACGAATATAGAACACACCTCACTCGCTAATATGGAAACATAATGGCCTATGGATAATAAATATTGGCAGAGTGCCCTTGATTGCTAGCCAGCGTTTATAAAATGCTAAATAACTGAATATTGTCACAAGCTCTGGTAATATTTTACGCACTATTACTCATTTAGAACCAGGGGAAGGGAATTTTAATATTTTTCTTTCTTAAGTGAGCGGAATAGTAAGTGATGGTACGCGGTAACAGTCGCTCTGTATATTTGAACAGCGCTATAGACATCATCTGACACCCGTGATATCGCTCATACGTTGCAATTCTGGTAAACCAAATTGTATTTTATTTACTCGTCCCAGCTTCGCACAGATACATTACAAATATTTAAATTTCTCGGCTTGTTCTATACTATAACTCGCATGTATTATACATATAAAGCTTCCTCTTGAATCACTCTATCTGTTGCTGAAAACGCATTAATTTCCGTTGCGTAATTTTAAAGACATAAGTGAACAGACAGCCGAGGCTTTGTGTTATACTACGTAAAGAAAACAAATACCAAAATATGTATAAGAGACTATGTCGGAGCGGATCGCTAGTATCGTATTAATTTTAAAATTGTATAGTTAACAGGAGGCCAACAGACCTCCAGACTCAATATCTAATTTAAATTGGTATGGAATTTTTTAATGGATTAATATGGAATTGTGCTTCCGCCTGCGAAAGCGACAAATGGAGCGTGTGGAGTAGTGAAAATTAGGATGAGTATGAATTCTAGTTTTATAACGTAGAAATTAACAATAAATTAACATATAATTAATACAATACACACATGGACTCTGGTTGAATAGTGTAGCAATTTTGTACACAATAACCAATTTCAATAGGTGAACTTAGTTTCTACAAGTAAGGGGGTTATTTAGATCTGCCACTCACCATGCGCAGGAGCCTGCGGGTGCCGCTTGGGCGAGCCGCCCTGCGGCGTGGGCTGCATGGCGCGCGCTAGCGGGCCCTCCGCGCACCGCCCCCCGCCCTCCGGCTCATGGCTGCAACAACACAACACTATTGTTAGTTCACATGTACTTACTACAAGCAGTCACACACAAAACTAATAGGTAACACTGAACGATAATGGAACGGTGCACCTGCCTGCGGTTATGGTTTACTGTTAGGATACCAGTAGATGATGATAAGATGAATACGAGGTCAGGTCAGTTAGCTCATAGTGGAAAATTCACCAAGAATTTAACATGATTCGAGTTTCCAGGGAGACGCCATTCCCCCTGGAAACTCAAATGTCAACCCGTGGTCAACCTGATATAGTACATTGTTAGCAATGGGAATATACGTCCACATCACTATGAACTCCCTTCACCCTGGTAACATGTTCATGTCACCAACATTATCTTAGTAAAAAAGAAACATGTGACCTTCTCAAAGGCTATGTAAGCTTTAGGATTGGGATTTCTGAATAGGTCAATGACACGATGACAATATTACACTATGATAGATTAGAAAATGATTCTATCTTCACTCCTTTAATCACACAAGTAAACACACTTTAAAACATAAAATACTAATTAGAATTAAAATGTTTAATTATTTTATTACAATTAAAAAAAATGTACATTTTAATCACTTATGCAGGTCATGTTTTTCTCTACCGTCAAATAATTAAAATTCTATACTAATTTATAGACACCTGTAACATTAAATTGAAAATGCGGTACATGAATAACTATTGGCATGTACGTTTGTCATTGAAGTTATCATTTAATATGTAATGGGGTTTGCTCAGTGTATTTTTATAGAAACGTATAGTTACAAATGAACTCCTGATTACAAATTTACCATGTTAAAAATGCGTATATTTTTGGTTACGCACCAAATATTTCCGTCACATTCCTCATGAAACAAAGGACGTCATTCTCAGCATAAAGATACGAGATATTACCATACAAAGCCTGAAGTAAACAATGAAAGTAGCAAGGGTTTGTGCTTTATGAATAGTAATAAGCGTAAAGAGTTTACAAGGGATTCCGGCCCATTGGGCACGCCATTTGCATAATAGAGAAAGATTTGCTGTTAATGAACCAGTAAATGTGAAACTAGTTACTCTAACTGAACTAGCGATAGGAAATAAATTAGTTTATAAACAAGAACTAGATGCTGTCATTTATACTGACGATTTATCGTTTTTATAAAAAACAATATAGCTGATAGATGAAGAATTTATTTGTGAATCAGAATATAAACAAAAAAAAACCAACGCGAATAAATTTAAATCGTGTGTGTACAGCAAAATATGATGGCCAATGGTTTATTTAGTTTATTAGTTTATTGTTTCGCCTCGAAAATGGTAAAACACTGATATTCTGCCATAACCAATATGGAGTTAGCTGCAAAAATCCCATAAAAAAATTATGGTGCAAATCTATAACAGTTCCTGATAAGCAATAAATAATAATTGGCCAATATATAGAATATATTTGAAAGTTAACAAAACTAATTTTAATTCTACAAATCCTTGGAAATATAAAAAAAAAATAGAGTTCAATTATTAAAGAAATTCTGTTATCAAAGACTCTGAAATGATTATGACTGGAGTTAATATATTATATTTAAAAATTATATTGTCATAGCTTTTCCAAAATACTCTTTTATTAAATAAGTTTTGTACAATAAAGATAAATATAATGGTTTGAAAATAAAATATAAACTATGCTAGGAACATAACAGAGAATGAATGCAACCACGATATTCTGCATGATGTTCTCACATTTAATTAATTACATTTTGTCTCCCATGACATCCCATCCCATCTTATTAATTGAAACATAAGCCAGCCATTACCAGCTATAATTTGTAGCAAAAATACTACCATAATTTGTCTCAAAACAATACCAATTACAACGCACTAATTAAAACAATGGTGATTACCATTTCAGCAACAATCGCCACAACTAATTCGTTCTACTTGGAAGCTTGTAAGTAACGTTAAGTATTAGTAATGGTATACAAACTTCATGGTCTTTAGGACAAGGGCGTGAAGGGAATTGTTAACAACCAAAGAGTATATAGCACAGACTTTGTACGAGTAGATGAGGTTAACTAAAATTAGCCGGAACTCTTCTATTGTGTTGTAATCTGTGTCCTAGATAATTTGAGTTTTAACAACGGATTGGATAGTATCTTGTGTATTTGTAGAAATGTTTATTTCTATTCGAATCCATATCATCCTAATTTTAAAAAGCTGAAGAGCTGAAGATGATTGTAACTGAAAATTTATTTTAGTATTGGATTGTCTGTTTACTGAAATAGGCTGTAGACTGTGGTCAAAAGGAGATGCATTAGGAATATTACAAAACTGCAGAAAATATTTTGCTTTTACATTCTGTTTAACTTCATGTTTCTAACTGACGAGGATGAAGTTGCGTATGTACGTTAGCGTAAAGTATAGATTAGAGTGGTTTATAAACTGTATACACTCAGGATCATTTTATATAATTGTATTTATTGTTCAAAATGCAGTATCGTTGATATCGTTCTTTAGTATTTAAATTTCTAAGTATTTTCCAGTTTCTCTACACTAATAGTATGTAATATTATGTTATCTGTGCTATTTTTTTTTGCTATTTGTATTTGTATTATGTGCTATTTTTTTTTAACACATCCCGTAATGTAAGTTACTATTAGTAACTTACATTACGGGATATGTGTTAAAAAAAAATAACCCCAAACATACGTTTATTTTCTCCTTTTTGGACATTTTCTTATCTAATTTTAAATCATTCTAACTAATATTAACAAATATGGCAGACTACTGAGTTTGGTGTACCCACGGAGACACGTGATGTCTGTGTCAACACCTTCACCTGGCGCTGACAGTTAAATACTCATAGATATTTTTCTTTCCACATTTTAAAAATACATTCTTTGTTATTTCTATATTTTTACACTACTTACATTAGATAAAATATTTAACATTTGTTAATGTTAGTTGATATACTAATACTGAATTGTTTATATAAAATTTACCAGATATTTCTCATTTATTTGATGCAACTGTAATGGCAAGCTAACGGCCCATATCAACTTTAAGATTTGCAAATAAAATAAATAATTATTTAAATGCCACAGTATTTTCTGTTCATTTATAATATTATCTGAAACAAAACAATCCTAAACCGAGCTACCGACCTAAACCCACACGTGTTCAGAAAAATAAGGAAGCGAGATTTTCTAAGATTCCTTATAATACAATCTGCAACGTTTGAGATTATACTTGTTTATGTATCTGTTCTGATCGCATGGTGTAGTTTATCATAATAATTCTGAACATAACATGTTTTTTCACACGAACAGTGCATCAGTCACTTTTAATGAGGATATCCTGATACCAAGCCGGACCAATTAGGTACAATGACAAACAAAATTAGCATCTGAAATATTGTATACGGAGATATATGCTGTGATATATATTTTTAAATATTGCATAGGAGGCAAATTAGCCAGCGGCACATTTGCAGGCAAACGATTACTGCCACTCATGAGTACCCGCAAAATCAGGGCAAGTGAGTTACCAATCTTTTAAAAAGAGGCGGGAATGGGACCTAATTAGGGATAGTTGGGAGGAGGATAGGCGTCAGGTATGTCCATCAGGAATTTCCATCATGTCGAATTTACTAGAAGTTAAGAACGACGATATCCAAAGGAAATCACGTGGATGTCTAGCTGAATTATTACATTGCTAGCAATGGGGGCCACTAGTCACAATTTCTAACAATGCCCTGCCAAAATGTAGATACTTTCATTCCGATGCTCTTATCTACTCTTTAGATATACTTTTTCGCTTAAAGTTGGAATGGAAACTTCTAGAATATAGCTTTGTTTATACGTGTTGGAGTTTAAACTTTTCCGGAGTTTGTAATCCGTGCAAACTTTGCAGGAATTGCAGACTTATGAAATGTGGAGTTACGGTGCGGTTGTGAACTTTGGTGGATTCAATATTATTCATTTGAAGTATATATATATCGTTTATTTATTATGTATAAATTTCATATCGGACCAATATAATATGTATATTGAAAGACTGTTGATTTAGTCGTCTAGTCATGTGAAATTATTTACCAGTACAATTTCATTTGCATCACACTTACTTGAAATTTATGATTATATTTCGACAATTCACATATATTTTATTATTTTTTTTAAATCATTATCAAATTCAAATTCAATAATCATTTATTCATAGTAGGACATTTTAGCCACTTACGAATATAATTTTTTTTATATTACAATTTATTCCCTACCGTCCAGTTCCCTATCTGTTTTTCTGATATATAAACTATATTACTTTAAAGTTTCATTAAAATCCGCTCCATGATTTTTGTATGAAAGAGTATCAAACGTTCATCCATCCGTACTCACAAACTTTCTCATTTATAATATTAGTAAGATAATATTTGTAACCATTACAATTCACACAATGCTATCTAGTCTCAAACTAACTAAAGTTTGTATTATGGTACGAAACAACTGGTAAAAATACTTAAATACATTTTTTTGTAAATACATCCAATATCTAAACAATACATGCGTAATACATAAACAATACATGCAAAATCATAATATCTAATGAAGATTAAAGCCTTCATCATGATATTGAAATCCCCCACACATCCGACTAATAGTTACAAAATTTCTCCATTAATCTGTCTCGATTACTGATGAAACTTCCAATTTCCAAGAGACAGGCATCGGAAATTTTAATTATTCGCACACGAGCGGTCGGTCGTGTCCACCGGCTGACCACTGACTCCCCATACCCTTCCCACTTCCGAATTTCTCCCCGTTTCACCCTGTTTCCCCCCTCACGCATCGATTGGCTGCGTTCGGCGCATGCAAATGCAGTAATGCAGGCCTACAATGCAAATATCTGTTATATTGTGTTTGTTGTCTTAAATGCATATGCATAACTTTGTTTGCCTTTTTTTTATATGTTACTGGCTTTATTATTATACAATATTTATTTATTTAAACTTTA